GACAGTTTGAGTACTTGCGTGACCCAACCAAATGTTCTTTAGATTGGTATTGTTCGTCGGACAACTCAGCAGTACTTGCTATGCTGGTTGCAAACTGACACTTGCGTGCCTGTCTTCAGAACGGGTCCACTTAAACTGGTGTGGTTCTTTCATCAAAAGACCACTACAGAATGAACTTGCACGGTTCTCTCACATTATGTTATTTTTACATTGTCTGGACTTGAAAAGAGACTGACCTCTGAGTTTGTTTCGGCATTTCTTCTCAGAGTAGTCAGATAGGAAATGCCGGCTTCATCTAGTTTTTTACATATAAATTGACGTGTAAAAGTGCCGTTTTATGGCCTATTTGCAAAAATAAATTCATTGTTTCATTGTTTCACAGGAATTCAGGAAGCCAATAGGTGGAAGAAGCAAGCAAAATTGACATATTACTCATAATACAAATTTTATTGTCTTAGTAAATGTATTTGCCAAGCGCGGATCCAGCCTTTAAAAAAGGTTGTGGTCACAGCTACTAGACGGCTAAGTACGAGTCGGAACATGGACATGCTCATTAACAATCATGCAAATCGTTTATGAATTTATGCTTTAGATTTCCTTTTTTCTTAGCATCAGGACTTTGGCCTTAGGAATGTAAATAAACTTAGGAAGAAGTCGGACCCGATTTCTTCTAATTTCTAATAGTCAGTTTCGATCCAAACCTATTTCAATCACAAGTGTATTAAGGTTGTGGGCATGCCCATCGTGCCCACAACGGTGGATCTGCCCTTGGTATTCGCATGCCTTTTTAAATTTATTCGAATTTGAAACCAATGAACAAGCCATTTTGTGTGGTTGTGGTGGGTGTAAGTCATCATGTAATAAGTCAAATTAATCTTTCATTGGTGTCACGTGGAGGAGCTATGTCTTACAGAAAGCCCACGTGAGTGAAGTTACAGTTGGTCCAAAACCTGTACTTGTAAGGTGGTTGTAAGTCATCTCTAGTTTAAATTCAAATGTAAAAAGGACAACACATTTGTTACATTTGTATAGACAACAAACAACCCTTTCTGGACGCGACAGATCTGCTATTTATAGCAACTCTTCAATCTCCGTAAAAGGTTCCTCCTCACAGAACATAATCACGCTGAGAATTGTCTACTCTTTTAAAAAAACTACCTAAGTATGACGAGAGACGCACAACTTCTGACGTCACGAAAAAAAGCTGTTACGTAATAAAAACATACGTCAATTAAAGTTACGAAACTCAGTACGTCGGTACGTAAATATCACGTTGCAATTAAACATTCTCTAGACTGTGACTGAATGAAGTATTTTAAGAACCACATCCATACTACTTCGCACTTATCGTAACCGAACAAGGTTTATATTTCTGTGACAAAAAATTGATTATAATAATAGCGTAGTGTTCCTGGCAGGTGTATTTGGCGTGTAACAATATTCTAATTTAACTATAGTCTGCCAGCCCTTGATCTGATTTGTTAGCTAATCGAGTGTCCAGTCTGCTTTTAGTTCGAAAACTGTCAACTAACTACCAACCCTATGATTTTAATTTCAATTCTCGCGTATATTTTTTAAACCCTCTCAAATTTTCGGTGCTTAATTATTGTGCGGCTAAAAATATCTAAATGTAACTATTACTAACTTTCAAGAACCGGCACTGTAAAATTACAATGTTAATTGTCCATTATTAATTTCGGACACCTATTTGGGGTTCAAACACTAATGCGCATCCTTTTCTACGTAACAATAGGTATTACAGAGCTGAACTTTTTGGAGAAAGTGTCAGACTCTCACTGACTAAAAATACCGATTGGATACGGATATAGAAATGATTATTATACTGGATACAGTTACGGATACGGATATGAAATTATATCGGATTATCCGTTAGTTTCAGATAATTTCGGTAACGGATATTAAATTTTTTTGAAATTTCAAAAGTAAAATACAAAAATAACGTGTCTCAATTAGACTCTGCCCTTATCTGATATTATTCGAAACTTTTATTCCGGATATTTTTAGCTGCTCGGGAACATTGTAGCTACCTTTCAGTGAAAGTATTTTGGCAATCCGACCAGTGGTTCCAAAGATTGCCCCCTACATACAAACTTACCAACTTACAAACATACAAACCTACAAATTTTACATCTTTATAATATTAGTATAGATACGATAGTTTCGGTTACGCTTACAGACCTCCCTAACACCCCTGCTAAAAACCATCCCGTTCCTTTTCCTGCTCCGGGTCAGGGCTGCGGGGCATTATTACGTTTGAGCCCACAATCCGCCCTTTAGGGTTCCCCATCTGTAGTGCATAGCGTGCAGAATGCTACACATCGTCCACCTAGGTACTACCGCTGTACCTTTTGACAGATAAGGAACAATCAATACGTCGTATTAATAAAGTGTCAATATTTACAATAAAATATTATTTATTGGTTTATACTTGAAAATCATTGTTGACTTTGTTGCTTGATATCTAAACGTTATCTCTAGGCTTCCTATTTGATATTGTATATCCACAACAATGTCATGAACATTACACCCATTTCGTTTCCTAAGTGATGGGCAAGCCAAGTCTTTTTAGGCAAACGAGCAGACTGATCACCTTAACGACATATATTATTAAACAGGCATTAACGCGGAAAGCACCTGTTTAGAGAGAGTGTCAGACTCTTACTAATGAACCCCCCCCTCCCACCCCGTTCTTTCGTTCACTCTCTTTTCCGCCGTGACTTATAGCGCTTAACCCACAACCCCGGCTGAACATCGGCCTTATAGGGCCCCGTCTGTGGTGGTCTATTGGCTCTTCGAGGCACGCGCAGAACGCTGCGCGCCATACGCTCGGGTCCGGTTCTGGTCGCGGTGCAAGCTACCCTTACTCACCGTCCGCTGATCCACGCTTACGGTGGCCGGAGATCATCTCTCATCCTTGGAAGGCTTGACGTTTCGACCTGGTTGCACAGATCGTGAGCAGACTGAGGAAGCGATTTCACAGGTCCATGCATGCGAGTCGATGTATCTTCATCAAATGTTAGTCTAGATAGACTGAACACCAAAGGAGTTGCTGGTCTTTTGTGCGTTAGCGATCTATGGATTAAAGGGAGAGGATGCCAAGCCAGTTTCCCGTGAGGCCGCGATGGCTTATACCTGCTCAGTAGTGCACATACTCCATAGCAACTAAGCGACAGTATGTCCATTGCAACAAAGAAAGAATATGATAATAGCAACAAAGCTTAATATCCGCCGCGTGGTGATTAACGGATATATGTGATATCCGACGTGCTATTCTGAAAATGCACCTCGAAAGTTATTTCGCACATTAACTCGCCTGACTCACAAGACGTTAAAAAGTCTTATAGTGGGATTTAAATGCTTAAATACCAAACGACAAATTCCCAAAATACTCACCTGTGTTAGTTCTTCTCACTTCCGTCATCACCTGATGGCGTCAGTATCAAAGTTTTATTTTGTTTAATTTTTATGTGATATTTCGACAAACGAGTAGACGGATCACCTGCAGCAACAGAGGAGTTACAACGCGTTGCCGACCTTTTGAGGATTAGGAATTTGGAGATTTAGGGATTGGGGGAGGGGGAGGATTGGGCCACTGGTAACCTCACTCGCACGGCGAAACACACTATCACACTGGTCGAGACACATACTTTCAGAAGCAATCCTGTGACGCGAGAGGGAGGGTTTTTTCAAGTTTTCAAACATAAACAATTATATATATCGGCTCTTAAATTCTTCTTACCGTCGTACTTCTTGCAATAAACATTGTTTTTGGTTGACATTTCCTCGCGTCATGTCAATGGAGCTCTCATAATAATCGCACCGTTTATTTTATTTAAAACAACTAAATTGCTTAAAAGTCTCAATAATATATAACATGAAAAGAAATTTATGAATCAGATGGTGTGCGCTATGATGCGTATGTTTAATATTTAATGCCCTAATCGTTTTAAGAGTATAGTAAGTACAGTCGAATTAATTGTGAATACCTACACTACATTTTAGCAGTGTTTTCAAATGTATTGTTTAACAGACTCTAAATAACTAAGTTCTTTTAAAGTACGTACACATATTTACGGAATGTAATACAAATATATTTTTATATCCAGGTAAATCTATACTAATTTTATAAAGAGGTAAAATTTGGAACTTTGTAAGTTTGTATGTAGGATGTAATCCTTGGAACCGCTGGTCGGATTGCCAAAATTCTTTCACTGATAATTAGCTATAATGTTCCTGAACGCTATAGGCTATAAAACATCACGCTACGATTTAATGGAGCCAAGCAACGTTTGAAACGTCGCGAGAGACGCTAGTCATATATAACCTTAATTAAACCATAACAAATATTCTGCATTCAATACGTCTTATACACATCGTCACGTGTTAAAGGGTTGGGAAGAGAAAGAGGTATCTTATGCTTTAATATCATGATCAAATGTTGTTCGCTCGTCTCGCTAAATCTCGAAAACGGGTCGTCCAATTTGGCTAATTTTGTCCTTGAAATATTCGTGTTCGAGTCCAGGGTAGGTTTAACAAACAGGTTCAGTTATCCTGTAGGTATATCTTTGATGCTTTGTGCGGCATTTCCGATGCCAAATGATTTTTCTTTCAATTATTGTGACGTTCAAACAAAAACGTGAATGTCTTACCTATATTTTATTGTTTTTCTTCTTGTTAGTTATAATATTTTCCCGACCTCTGAAATTACTTTGACTTTGTTCAAGGCTTTTTTCGTGCAAGTACCTAAACGGATCTCCTAAAGCTAACCAATCTATGGACACCCGCAACATCAGATTACTTAGTTTTAGGATTGGAAGATTGGACAAATGGAAATGGGGTGGTAACACGGAAACATGCCGAAACACAACACAAGCGTTGTTACTCCAGTCACTCCGATCCAGTCGAAGCATAGCTCTCCGAGACTTTTACATTACGAAGTTTTAAACAGATGTTTTCCTTTCAGAGCGGCTAGCTCGAGAATGAAACGCGATGACTCGAACAAAAGCTTTACAAAATATTCGTCACAGCGGCGCTTGAGTGGTGGACAGACGTCCTATGCATTGGGCGGATGGCGTCAGAATTCCCTTACTATAAGCACATTAGCGCAGAACTCTGCTTATTTAGCTGACAAACTTTTACACGAGTAAGTACTTATAAGTATATTGTACAACTAGCTTTTGCCCGCGACTCCGTTCGCATGGAATAGTGACGTTCCGCAGATTTTTGGTATAAAAACTATCCTTTGTTGTTTCCCGAGTTCCAAACTATGTCTGTCACAAATTTCACAGAAATCGGTTCAGTAGTTTAGGCGTGAAGGGAAGACAAAAAAACAGACAGAGTGACTTTTGCATTTATAATATTAGTTTGGATATATTTTAGTAGATATCTTTAATGAGTTTAAAACCAGCCAGTGACTTCTATATCGACTGAGTGAAGCGGGAGACAGTGGCTATTATTTAGGTTTCGTCGCGTTTAAAACTATGTAAAATAAATGCACACATTAAATTTTCAGAGAAAAAGAAGAAAAGGCAAGAAGTGAACCAGTATCATGGTATCAATTAGTAAGTATTCTACAGTACAGTCCTGAGTCTCTTAACAGCATGCTTATTTGTTCTCCAAAGCCTATAAATATGTACAGTACACACTGATGTTTTTATAATACAGATTAAAAACTAATAATAATAAATACAGATGATGCAGGAGGAAAATTACAGAAAATTTTTACAAAAAGGCAAAAATAGGTAAACATTTACGTAAAGTCAGGTAGAAACTACATAAATAAATTAATAAAATCAAGAAAATGCACATGCACATGTTGTGGTGGCCCGGAGCTCGAGGCCCCCGCTTCTCATCTTGGGGTGCGAAACTTGGCAAATAGGTACCAATGTAACATATACTGAAGTACCTACTTTCATGGTTTATTAAGACGCCACTAACATGCAATGAAGGAAAACCTCGTAAGAAAATATGGACAAATTTTTTCCAATTATAATTTTACTATCGCCAATGACTAGGTACGCCTTGAACAATTGTGGGGCTCAATTTTCAATTATTATTCGTGTTAAAAAAGGATTTTGCTTTGAATTTTCAATTTATAAGTTGGTGTTGATGTCATAAAATTAATTAAAGAACTTGTCTTTGTAATAGAAAAATAGGCTTATTGCATTCCGATGATATGCCGATGTGATACGTTTCCTGCGGGAACGTATCGAGTAGAAGAATATACAATATTAAGTAAACAAAACAATATTCTTTATTGTGGTACATACCTAGATAAGCAAATAGATGTGACATGTTTCAAAGATTGTACACAACTATGACCCGCCATTGTGGCATACAATAATTTTAAGTATGTCCGTAACATTTATACCTATATCATAAACATAACACAATCAAGTAAGTAAAGTACTTACTTATTGAGTACGTTAAAAGTAGTCAATATCAATAATAAATTATATTTTTATTCTACAGTATAGGTATGCCACGCCGTGTGAGCTATTCTTACTGCTGATTGGTGTATTTTTTGCCTGCATAAATGGCTTGTTCGTGCCGCTGGGTGTTATCATTTATGGCGAGTTTACGGCGCTACTCATCGACCGGACCGTCATGAACGGCACTTCGACGGAAACGTTAACCATTGTTCTATTCGGTGGAGGCAAAATACTGTAAGTATTCAATAACATAGCTTGCGAGTGAATTATATTTAAATGGAATAAATCAAACTATCCCAAAGTTAAAATGAAAAAAGGACTGACCGACAGACTGACACTTCATATAGTATATCTTTAAATTTTGTATGACGTTCAAAAGTGTCTGTAAGGGCTTCATTGAAATAAACTTTTTGAATCTTTTTTTTTTTTCATTAGGCCAGTTTTTAACGTCAAACAAAAAAAAAATATCAAAAGTTAACTTTATGTGTTATTCTGTCAATCTGTCCTCTAGAGAAACTATTTGCTTGTAACCAAAGCGTAGATTCCAATAGATAAGAACGAGCAAGAAACTCCGTGATTACTATTTTTCAGTCAATTTCAAAATTCTTGCTTGTTACTTCAATTAAATTGTTACTTCATTCAATCGGTTCTATTATGTGAGAACAGTGCAACAGTAATGTTAAGTGAGAGCTTTGATAAAAGGGTATCGCCATAGTCTTCCAAAATCCATAAGTATTTAGAGTATGAGGAACAGGGTGGAAAGTTCCTCATCCTCCTTTGAAAAGGGAGGATCCTCCGACCAGGCGAGGTGTTCGTGCCTGATGGCCCGACGGATGTTGTCGGGTTATCTGTATGGGTGCTAATTGTGTGGAAAACTCTTATAGCGCGATGTAGACTCTTGCACGTGATTGGTGCTGTTGTTAATGTAGTGCGCTAGATGTCGCTACAAGTAATTACTATGACTGAAAAATTGAAAATCTATTCATCTATCTAAGCTGCAATTGCTCAAACCGCAATTTATATTCAACACCTATGAAAATTTACTAAACTAATGGGTTACGGGTTCGAAGGCTGGTAATAATTTTACTTTCATTCTTATATATTTCATTCGTTCATTTAAGCCACAACAGACATACGGTTTTTCAAAAAATAGTTTTTATTTTTAAGTTTTAAGGTAATCCGCCTTGCGCCAAGCGTGATGATTAATACTCAAACCTTCCCAATGATAGAAAAGACTTTTGCTCAGCAGCGGGCACGTGTAGGCCGATGATGCGATGTAATATGTGTAAATTTTGGCAACCTAATAGCTAGAACGGATTACCCATTGACGGCAAAGTATTAAATGTTTCTCGATATTCTTGTTTCCAGTACAAATGCAACACGAGAAGAAAATAGAGTCGCTTTAATTGAAGACTCTCAAGCTTTCGGAATCGGTTGCACCGTGTTTTCCATAGGACAGTTCATAGTTGGTCTCATCAGTGTGGATATCTTCAATCATGTGGCGCTCAATCAGGTGAGAATTACATACTCATAGGTGTATAAATGTAGTTCTTTTCTCGGCTAATTACCAAGAGGATGAGCTGGAGTCGACGTGCACCGTCTTTCATACGGAGTTGCTCGCCGCAATATATATAGCCTGGGCTACAGACCTGGTTGTCCGGGGTGGCGTCTTATACGATTCTGCTAAACACGAATAAATTATAATTTTAAATTAAATAGGTACCTATTAGTGACTTTTTTGCATATTTAGGTATTTCGAAAAAATAACGTAATAGGTACAGGTTATTAAAAAAAAACATTGTCCCACTCTAGGATTTCTCCTGTGTTGTGGATCAATTCAAAAACAATTTCACATACATACCCTGACCAAGAACAATTCCTGGATCACACTTATCATACGTGATCATCAGTCACTTATCAGACTTATCATACTTATGATACATGATTCCCGCATGGAACAATTGATAAGTGTCATCATCAACTATTCAGTCAAAGTCAGTGTCTTTAACTGAAGTTCAAATGTTTAATTTCCAATTTCCTCATTCCTCAGGTGGACAGGCTAAAGGCAATGTTTCTCAGATCGGTTCTCCGTCAGGACATATCGTGGTACGACTTGAACACCACAATGAACTTCGCTACAAAAGTGTCGGAGTAAGTTTATTTTTCAATGTTTTTAGTAACCCCATTTACTTATCTATTTTAAAAGTTTTAATTTTTATGAAATAGAGTACTTGTGAGTAGATTGGGACTAAGTAATACCTTATGGTAAATAATACTTGCAACACCAGAGATACAAGCGTATTACTGACCTAATACAAGCATATTGGTGACATGATACATACTTATATTCCAAAATATAACAATAATGTCGTTATTACACTACTACATACTTCCTGTGAGGCTCCGGATATCTGATATCAGTCTATTTGAGCTTACCATTCGTACCCAACCATGGTGCACACTCCTGCATGTCAACTCTTACGTACGCATCTCTTCAAGAAAACAAAACACTACCTTTCCACGGTCCCTGCGAAATTCTTCAGCTTCTATCATGTATGTATAAGCAATGTCATCATTGTACACGCACACCGAACAAGAGATGATCTCCGGCCACCGTAAGTACGGGTCTGCGGACGGCGAGTAAGGGTAGCTCACCGCCCAACCAAAACCGGACCTGAGCGTACGGCGCGTAGCGTTCCACGCGTGCCTTAAACAACCAATAGACCACCACAGACGGGGCCCACAGGGCTGATGTTCAGCCGGGGTTCATTTAATGACTTTCCCCTGACAAACCGAAAATTAGTGTTTCGCACTGTTTTGATCCTTTACCAAAATCAATAATCTCATAACCTTTAATATGTCTAAATATTTTTCTTCAGTGACATCGAAAAGTTTCGGGAAGGTATAGCGGAGAAAGTGCCGATCTTCATTTACCTAGTGATGTCTTTCGTGACGTCAGTGATCATCTCCTTCATTTACGGCTGGGAACTTACTCTGGTGCTTCTGTCTTGTACACCGGTGGTCATCGCTACCACAGCCGTGGTTGCTAAGGTTTGTAGTAAAAAATCATATTTTTTATGTAATAGGGCGGCAAACTTTGCTAAGAACCGATGAGCAATCGGCACCGCCAGACAAATGCACCATAGGAGTTATGAATGCGATGAGAACCGGTCTCTTACTACCGTTTTTTGTTTTTGAGATCACCCGTTTTTTGTTTTTCACTCCGGTCGAGCCGGTCCATTTGTATCCTATTCGAATGTACTAACACCGAATACGTGGTTGAGGAATAGCAAATAATAAGCATTTTAAAGTTATAGATAAAGAATATCTTGCTATCTCCCTCTGTAACTATGTGCTTAAGGATGAAATCACTAGTTATGTTAGAATAAATGTTAAGCGCAAAACCAATTTTTTTAACAACAGATTTGAACACCTTTTTGCTAAAGGTACAATCTTCGTTGACATCTCAAGAACTAAAGGCGTACAGTATAGCAGGAGTCATAGCTGAAGAAGTGCTCGCTTCGATTAGAACAGTTGTCGCCTTTGGTGGAGAAAAAAAAGAAATAGCAAGGTAATAAACTTAGGACAAATTAACAGGCAACGATGACGGTTTTCTAAAATATTCTCCGTGAGCTGGCAGCTCTGAAGTCAGATCCAACCACCTGTCAAAACACATAATTATACGATTTACATTAAATCCCTTCTTTGCTTTACTTATTCTTTCTTAGTGCTGATTTGTCAATGGTTAAATAAAAATGATCTGGGGAATAATTATGATGCTCTTGCGTCTGAATGTTTGTATAAAACAGTGACAGCAACAATTTTATTCTACAGATAACATTTATCTGATTACTGAAAAATCAGCCCAACGCAACAAACGGAATGTTGTTTTCCATAATGGCAACATTCCATTCATTCCAAACACTCTGCCCCGTCAGCATCATAACTAAATTTTAACTAACCATTGAAAAATCAGCCCTAACTCACATTAAAAATTTTCAGATATTCAGAGCGGTTAGAACCTGCTAAAAAGATGGGCATGAAAAAAGGTGCTTTTGCGGGCATAGGCAGTGGTGTTATGTGGTTCATTATTTACGCTACGTACGCCTTGGCCTTTTGGTATGGTGTTGGCCTTATTTTGGATAGCAGAGGTGAAGAAAAACCTTTGTATACTCCAGCTGTACTTATGATTGTAAGTTAAAAAAAATTTTAGCTTAGCAAGCTTTTTGTAGAACGAAAGAAGTTCTTAGGTTCGAAATGCCCGAGCAATGCGAAATATTACGTGGTATTTTATAAATTTTGCCATTTGGGTATACACGTGGGTTATGCCCGGCCCGAAATTGCATGCTATTTAATACGTTTTCTGTCCATTTTTCGCTGTGTCCAGTATATCAAGACTTCAAATGATATCTCATAATCAATAAAATATATACATAATTAATTTGTAGGCATGTACTTATCTGTCCTGTGAAAATGGTATAAACAAAGATTTTACTGACAGGTCTTCTTCAGTGTATTACAAGGAGCTCAAAATGTAGGACTGACAGCTCCGCATATGGAAGCCATTACAACGGCTAGAGCATCAGCTGCGTCGGTATACGCGGTTATAAATCGAAAACCAGAGATAGACATATTTTCCGATGAAGGCGAAAGACCAGAACTCAAAGGTGACATCGCTTTCAAAGATGTACACTTTCGATATCCTGCAAGAAAAGATGTACTGGTAAGAATTCGTAGCACTAATCCATGTCTTATTATTCATCGATTTCACACCTTTTTTAGCTAATTATTACGTAACAACCTATGTTTGCCAAAACCACAATACACCGAACACAATCCGAAACTCTAGTAATACTGAGAACCGAGAGATGATCTTCAGCTACCGTAAGCGCTTCTCTGCGGACGGCGAGTAAGGTTAGCTCGCCGCCCGACCAGAACCAGACCCAGCGTAAGGCGCGTAGCGTTCCGCGCGCGCCTCATAGAGCCATTAGACCACCACAGACGGGGCCCTATAGGGCTGATGTTCAGCCCTATAGGGCCCTTAGGGGTTTCGGGGTAAGCGCAATGAGTAACCGCGGCCTCGGCCCAGAGCAGGAGAAGGGACGGGATGGTTTTTAGTCAGTAAGAGTCTGACACTCTCTCTCCTTACCCTGGACGGGAGAAATCATTTGATGATTTTCCCCCGATACAAAATAAAGTAATACTAAGAATGCAAAGCTTAAAAACGTATCGTTATTTTCTTAGTTTTCCTAAACTCTGTGTAAAGAATGGAACCTCCATTTTCGGTTATACCACATTAGTAAGTAATTGTGAGTTTTTTTAATCGTGGCTCTTTTTAATACAATTTTTATGAAATCGGCTTTTTTTCATAAAACATGTTTTTATCTATACTAATATTATAAAGAGGTATTTGTAAGTTTGTATGTAGGGGTTAATCTTGTCGATCCGATACCGCTGGTCGGATTGCCAAAATTCTTTCACTGATAGTTAGCTACAATGTTCCTGGGTGCTATAGGCTACAAAACATTACGCTACGATCAAATGGAGCTGAGCAGCGGGTGAAACCGCGCGAGAGTAGCTAGTCATTTAATAAAATAAGTTTTATTGCAGGTGTTAAATGGTTTAAGCTTGACCATAGAAGAAAACCAGACAGTTGCCTTAGTGGGTCCAAGCGGTTGCGGTAAGTCAACTGTGCTGCAACTCATTCAAAGAATGTATGACCCTGACTCCGGTAAGGTGATGGCTTCAGGGAATGACTTAAGGAATATGAACGTCAGGCACTACAGGAACCACATCGCGGTTGTAGGCCAAGAGCCGGTGTTGTTTGCCGGATCTATAAAAGAGAATATCAGGTAAGGTCAACATTTCGAAACGTATTTAGAGATATACATTCAGTCAATAAAGTATCGGGAATGAATGTTTTTTTATGGTTCCAAATTCGAATTTTAAATTTTTTTTGTTGTTGTTAGATTGGCATAACTGTTTTCCATTTTGGCGCGGAATTTGAGTTGCATCTGTTATTTATATTAAAAACAGTGCTGTTTTTAGTTTTATAATATCTAGTGTGTATTGCGAATTTCATAATGGACAAAAACATCGAACAAAGAGTTTGTCTTAAATTTTGCATCGCCAATCAAATTTCGTGTTCGGAGGCACTCAAAATGTTACAGAAGGCTTACCGTGAATCGACTTTATCAAAAACACGTGCTTATGAGTGGTACAAAGCGTTCAAAAGCGGTCGAGATGTGATGGAAGATTTGCCTCGTTCTGGTAGGCCATCAACGTCTGCAACTGAAGTTAACATCGCAAAAGTGAAGGAAATAGTGACTGAAAATCCTCATTCAAGTTTGAGAGAGATGGCCGCCGAACTTTCTGTATCTCACGAGTCGATCCGTACCATTTTAACAAATAATTTGGGTATGAAACGTGTTGCCGCTCGGCTAGTCCCAAAAGACCTGAATTTTCTTCAAAAACTAAATCGCAAGAAAGTCGCTGAGGACATGCTAGAACGAGTCAATACCGACCCAACATTCATGAAACGCATTGTTACTGGTGACGAGACATGGGTTTACGAGTTTGACATGCAAACTAGTCAACCAGCTTCGGAATGGCGCCTTCCAACTGAACCAAAACCGAAAAAACCACGTCAAAGTCGATCAAAAGTCAAAGTCATGTCGACTGTTTTCTTTGACTATCGCGGTGTTGTGCACTCAGAATTCTTGAAACAAACGGAGAATAAAGAATATTATTTGAGCGTTATGCGGCGTTTAAGAGAACAAATTCGACGAAAAAGGCCAGAAATGTGGAAAGAAAATTCTTGGATTTTGCATCACGATAATGCGCCTTCGCACAAGGCCATCATTGTAAACGATTTTTTGTCCAAACACTCAACAAACACCATCGAGCAGCCACCATATTCACCAGATATGGCTCCAGCCGACTTCTTTCTTTTTCCCACACTCAAATTACCCCTTCGTGGCACCTGTTTTCAATCGTTAGAAGACATAAAGGAGAATTCGCGGCGAGCACTGAACTCAATTCCGGAAACAGCGTTTAAAAAAAGTTTCGATGATTGGATTATTCGTTGGCGTAAGTGTATCGTTTCTGAAGGAGCATACTTTGAAGGTGATAAAATAAATTTAGATGAATAACAAACATTTTGTGTATTATTGACTTTTTCCCGGTACTTTCTTGACAGAGTAGTATTACGTGCGTATTATATCCCTACTCTATGTAACATAAAATTTCTCACTTATACTTTTAAATCGTTTTCAAAAGAATGAGCAATCCAGACGCGACTGACGCAGAAATCATCGAAGCGGCAAAGGCAGGACATTGTCATGACTTCATCAAGAAATTGCCTGATGTGAGTACCTTACTGCTCTTTTTTATACAAATATACAGGCTGTAAAAAGACACTTAACGAAGCCGGTAACTACGCATACTGCAGTTCTAACTAAGTAGCTTTACGCTAAAATTATCACTGGGAAAGGACTTTTATTTTTAAGTATCAAAAAAAAATTATTGCGCGCAATGTAAAGCAAACGGGCTTCGTGTTATTGTGTCCTATAATCCTACTGAGATTGTTTTTTGTGCGGGTCTGCATTTATTTATTACGTACATACTGTTCGTAACTTCAAATGCGTAATTTATTTAGAAAAATCGAAAATTCAGGTAATGTTTGTTTGGAAAAAAGTTCTGTAATAATACTTAGAATACGATTGCGCAAAAAAAATAAAAATAAAAATGCATCTGGTGGCCTTGTCAATTGTCAATGACCTTTAATATCTCGAGAACCCGTGGAGTCCCAGCTATGGTCTTAAAGAAAAAAATAATCCAAATAATGGGTAGAGTACGTGGCTTTCGGCTTCGTTAAGCGTCTTTTTACACCCTGTATGTATACATGTTATAATTAAAACTGCATTAAACAGAAATAGTATTTACCTTATTGCAAAATCAGTATGTGCAATTACTAGATTACACCTAAATCCATAATTCAGTACTTAATCTTGATAACTGATCATATGGTCTGGTAACACAAAAGAGTAAGACCATCAGAAGACCGACCGAAGAAACCATCAAAAGCATTTAAGGAAAAAACTAGAGAGTGTGGGATTTTTCCTCACTAAATCCACTCTCCGTGTCTTCCGTATATCCTACTCCAGATTGATAGTTATGATAATTTCTGTATTTACTATTAGCTAGGTACTAACGTATAAAATGTAATCAGGCGTACGATACAATGATTGGAGAGAGAGGGGCTCAACTTTCTGGAGGACAAAAGCAACGCATTGCTATAGCGAGAGCGTTGGTAAGGAAGCCTAAGATCCTGCTCCTTGATGAGGCCACTTCGGCTCTCGATTCCGCCAGCGAGGCCAAAGTACAAAAAGCCTTGGACGCAGCAGCGGCAGGAAGAACCACCATTATGGTGAGCCACAGGTACATATGAAAGTATAGGGCCTTGGTTTCCAAGTGAAAACATTTCTTAAGGTATTAGACAAAGATTTAAAAAAAATAGTAGCATGAAATCATCAACTATAGTCAATATAACTCGTTTCGTTTTTGTATGTTTAATAACGGCAACAAAATTTGCAATTTTTATGGTTTTAAGCTAAAGAATAAGCAGCACATTTTATGAGTGTTATTTGTGTGCAAAGGTTATCAACAGTACTGAATGCAGATCGTATAGTATTTCTTGACAAAGGTGAAGTGGTTGAGGAGGGCACCTACATAGAACTGATTGCCAAAAAGGGTCGGTTCTACCAGCTCGCAGCGGAGAATCAAGTCGAAACAGAAGAAATCACAACACCAGCCTCTACTGACAAAGTACCATCAAAACGTAAGCGTTACTTAATAATACTGTAATTTTGCCACTTTGCCCAATGTGGAAAAAGGCATAAACATACTTGTCACTGAACAATAAACTTTGTGTCATTACGTTATTGACTAATTTTTATTTTTTTCTAGATGCAAAAATACAGAAACCGAAAAGAGTAAAATCAATAGACTCTATAGAAAGTCACGAATCATCAGTTTCGTCAGTGTCGTCTGATGGTTCGGTACAAGAAGAGGAGAAAGAGGAACCAGAATACAACCCAACGACTTGGGAGATCTTAAAGCTATGTGCACCTGAGAAGTGGTTGATGGTAGCTGGCGTGTTCGCAGCTGTAGCCGTCGGCTCTTCTTTTCCGACTTTCGCCATTCTTTTTGGAGAGACATACGGGGTTGGTACTATAATTGGAATAGAACGTTTCGTTCTTCTCATTGGGCATGTCCTTAACTCATTTTTCTATGTCCTTTTTCAATGTTGATCCCCTTGTACATAAGTATATCCATATTTGACAGCAATTTTTACTGAGACAGGTAAGGTAGTAACTGATGTAGGATCTGTCTCAGTTAAAAACGTCTCTAAATGGGTAATTTCAACACAGGTCGTTTATTAAATCAAGGTTTTTTATTCTAGTTCTTGGAAAGCCCTGACTCTGACTGGGTGCGAGGTCAATCGAATATCATCGCGATCCTGTTCCTACTCGTAGGAGTTTACACTGGAATTGGAATATTTTTTCAAATATTAATATTCAACATCACGGGGGTGCGACTTACGGCCAGACTGAGGTATTTTAACTAATTTCTTATTTATTCGTTAAAGACAAATTAATAATCGGTTAAAAAATTTAGTTGTGTTAACGGTATTTTTTTCATATATCTCTAAAAGGATCTTTGTTATTTTATATATTATACTGAATTGCCCGATTTTAGCTGGGCCGGTAAACAGCTATTCTAAAAATCGACTTTTCGGATTCAGTTACTTTTAAACCCGTACCTATCAACAGTTACAACACTTTAAAATAAAAGTTACCTACATTTTTATTTCGTATTGATGTGTACCTTGTGTATATAAACGTTTGTTATCCATACGATACAGAAATTTTCTTAGAAACTAACTTAATATCTGTTTTGAACATCTGGTTTATTTTTGTAGGGTGGCAGCATTCGAAACCATGTTAAAGCAAGAGATTGGTTGGTTTGATGACCCTAAGAATGGCGTTGGAGCTTTAACAGCAAGACTGGCGGCAGACGCGGCAGCTGTTCAAGGCGTAAGTTAGCGTGGTAACGTCTCATGGTGCCATATCACCGAATACATAACATGATTTATTTCTTCAAGGTTTTCCCTCACAAAGATACCCCATTTCAAATGCAACTTTAGCTTTTCGCTAGCCACGAGTCACTTGTATTATGGGATCAAGTCCATTTTCATCTTCAACTCAGAACTGGACCTCGGTAACGTGTTGGGTTTTGCCAGCAACCCTGACGGCCTATCGGCCCTAAAGGGCCTCAATTGTAGTGGTCCGGAAGATGTAATAAGACATCGATTTTTAAATAAACAGACAACTGTTTTTTGATAGTTCATGATAAAATTTGAAAGACATAGTGTCCTGTAAGTTAGTTATTGTTTATTGCGGTTTAATTATATCAATGTTGGTTTTGTATTAGGCGACGGGTACACGCATTGGGGCTCTCATGCAGGCTTCAGCCACGATAGTGATTGGCATCATCCTCTCGATGTACTTCACGTGGAAGATGACTCTGGTCTCCTTGATTTCTGTGCCAATGGTCATCGGTAGTGTAGTAATGGAAGGAAGAATTCTATCTGTCGGCCTGGCACTGGTTCGCGAAGCTTCGTACAAAGCTACCACTATTGCCACTGAAGCCATCTCCAATATTAAGACCGTTTGCGCTTTCTGTAAGTACCTACAGTGAAATATTTTTTGTTTAAAATCAACATGTGCTAACAGGTTTACACCCAATGTGATGGGATTAAAGATTGACTAGAGAATAACAAAGATAGATAACGCCCCTTCGCCCACGACTTATACCTAACTAGTTTAGTAAGTAGTTTTCATTATCATTGTTGACAAGGAACTTCCCTTGTGTTATTAAACACTATTCATTCATACATATATACTTTTTTAATACATCATATATTTACATATACATTCTTATCTATAAAAGGGACTCTTTTGCCAAGGTGGTGAAGAGGGTGTAATGAAGCGCTACCATGATGCGTTCGTGGGCGGTCGTCTGGCGGCGCGCAAAAGTCTCCGTTGGCGTGGTTCTGTGTTCTCATTCGGGCAGACTGCACCCGTTGCTGGGTATGCCCTGTCTCTATGGTACGGTGGGGTACTGGTCGCCGATGGAGAGATACACTACAAGAGCGTTATTAAGTAAGTTTATTCTGTTCGTTGCTGTTGGTACAGGCTTTTACATACGTATCCCTCTGACTCCAATAACCACACTGACACGGCGAAACCACACAAGAGTGTCACTTGGCTCGAGCCGGCCAATTTGTTCCAAAGAATGGCTTTCCCGCGTGAATATGTGTATATATGTATATTAAAGAAAAAATGTGTTTCAGAGTATCGGAAGCTCTTATCTTTGGGGCTTGGATGATGGGACAAGCGTTAGCGTTCGCCCCTAACTTCGGCGCGGCTGTGAGCGCGGCTGGTCGTGTTATGACGTTGCTGGCTCGCAAACCCCGCGTGGTTGACACTAATGCACCTTGTGTGCCCATAGATTACGTAAGTGATATATAAAATCCTTTTTCACCAATATGTACCTACATTACAATTACAATTTATTTTTATTACAATTTCATAAAAGGTACCTACTTTGATATTGCCCTTTTATTAAAATAATGTGGGAAACATCCAATTTGCCTGGTCACGTCTTGTAATGATAATAATGTCTTGGTAATGTCTTGAACTCATAATTGTTTCAAATTTGAATTTTAAGAGGTGAAGATATTTCATTATAATGAAAAAATTAAAAACAGAATACGATACAAGAACGATATACTTAATAGCTATATTTTACCTTCCACAACAAGCTTTTATGCTAATAATTCTTATTTTTAGGTGGCCAAGGGTAGAATTGAGTACACTAACGTAAAGTTCCGTTACCCAACGCGACGAGAAGTAGAAGTGTTACGTGGTCTATCATTACTCATTCCATACGGCAAACGTGTGGCTTTCGTGGGACCCAGCGGCTGCGGGAAGTCCACTCTTATACAACTTCTACAGCGACTTTACGACCCCGATGAAGGCATTGTGGTAAGAAGTCCTAAGACCAGCAATGTGTATACATACTTGTGCGTATCCTGACACTCCCCAAAATCAACTGCCTACGGTTCCTGCCTAGCATGCGCAGCGCAGAACGTTGACGTGGTTGAACCCACAAGGATCATATTAGGGTCGCAGATAGCCGCATCTATCCTATCCCATCCCATCTAGCCTATCCGGAAAATCACTAGGGGAGGCCTAAGTTTTCTAAGTTCAGCATAGCCGTCTTACATCTGATATGATAACGACTAACCCACAAGGTGAAAGATTACCGCTAAATGTATCCTCACTTTCATCCAATTTCGTTATTGTTCCCATTGACGACCATTTTGCCCAGAGCGAATTGAAGATCCCTGTCCCATGTTGGGTGCCAAAAAATCTAATAGACATACCTTGTTTCGACTAAAAATATTGTTAACCTCTTACTATCCTTATGATTTTATATGATAACGCTAAAAAAGTATAAGCTACTATTAAGGATCGTGATTGTTTTTGCTCTTTTGTCGCTGTATAAAGGGGTGATTTTATAGAGTGTATGTAACATTGTCTCATTTCTTATTATTGCAGTATTTGGACGACTACAATATAGTATCGGAGATGCGTCTGGCGACATTGCGAGGGAACATTGGTATTGTATCGCAAGAGCCGGTGCTTTTCGACCGAACCATCGCTGAGAACATTGCATATGGAGACAATAGGCGCAATGTCACTATTGAAGAAATTGTATCCGCGGCCAAACAGGCCAACGTTCACGCTTTTATATCCGCATTGCCAAACGTAAGCAGTTACTGTTTCTTAGAGGCCACGATCAGGCTTGCCATTTGGTGAAGGCAGAATTTTCACTTTTCACATTCTGTTTATACACTTTACTTTCAACAGTACTCATTAATATCATACGAATCCTAACACGTCCTAAGATCATTGAATCCCCGAATCTAATGTCTTGTTATTTTTTTTTAAACTTAATGTTGAATTATTCAATAGTTTATTATTGAATAAAATATTGTATTAATCTGTTGTTTAAAGGGATACAATACACGCATCGGCGCCCGCGCATCTCAGCTATCGGGGGGTCAGAAACAGCGTATAGCAATAGCGCGGGCACTCGTGCGCAACCCACGCGTGCTACTGTTGGACGAAGCAACGTCAGCTCTAGATACACATAGCGAAAAGGTACTTATACATATGTAACAATTATACTTTACAACAGATTTTATGAGTAGGGAGAATAAAGGGCGACTAGCGATGAGACAAATCACCTGATAGTAAGCATTGAGTTGACAGCCAATTGTGGATAATCGCAATAGGTGACACTCCGGGCGCCGAGATCGAGCGACGGTCTCCAGCCATCTTAAACGCGTCTACTGTCGGCGAGTAAGGTTATCTCCGCCTGACTAGTATCAAACCCCAGTGTGCGTAACGTTCCACGGGCATAAAGTTAAAAGAGAGAGAGAGTAGACTCCTGGAGATGGTGCCCAATAGAGCCGATGTTTAGCCAGGGTCGCGGGTCAAGCGGGTCAAACCGACTTGAAACAACCACAGCATTATGGTTCGCCTTGTGAATGAGGTTACCGAAGGCCTTTCCATATCCTTAAATCCCCAAATCCCTAATTTCCAAAGGGTCGGCAACGCACTCGTAACTCTTCCGTTGTTGCGGGTGTCCATGGGCGGCGCTGATTGCTTACCATCAGGTAATCCGACCGCTAGTTTGCCGTCCTTTCACATAAAAGTTAATGCGGCCTGTCCTGGAGCAGGAGAAGGAACAAGGATGTTTTTAGTCAGCTGGGGTCTGACACTCTCTCTCGCCTTACCCTGGGCGAAAGACGTCATCAAATGGTTTTCCCACCTCAAAAAAGGCATTTGGGGATTAGGGAGCGGACGAGCCCGAATTTGGGTATAAAGTGTTTGAGACAGAGATTTTTATAAAATAGTGAAAATAACTAAATAGATAGGATAACTAGATAGATATATTTGGTAATACCAGGCTACATTGGTCACTTTGTTCTTTTTTACTAAATGCGCATATTCTTCTACAGATAGTACAAGAAGCTCTGGACAGAGCCAGCGAAGGCCGCACGAGTCTCATCATAGCGCATCGGCTAGCCACAATACAAACGGCGGATATGATTGTAGTTATAACTAAGGGAGTGGTCGCCGAGAAAGGAACGCACAAAGAACTTATAGCGAAGAATGGCGTTTACGCAAGGCTTTATGAACTGCAATGCGGTATACCAGAAGAAGTGGATGAAGCGGCTGAAGAAGAGACGTTGTGAGACACTTACGGTTCCTTATAGATTACCTACGAATGGAAGTCGTCAGACGTCTTGAGACAAATGGTCTGGTGAACCCAAAAGGTTCCTTCATCGACCAAGCATATACCTATAATATTAAAAGGATTAGTTAGGCTTACATTATCCAAATCGAATTACCTAAAATTATTTTGACATGTAAATGGTGTTTATAATTCTTAAATACAGAGTCTAACTGAGCTTATAGTTTTGCGGCGAATGATCCAAGTTTAACATTCACTACAACTTTAAGTCTGATAACAAAAATTTAACTGTTTATTCGATTATGGGGACCTCAACCTTAGTTACTTTTCCTACGGGGCCCATGGTAAACTCTACCATGTAGGTTGTGCAAATCAATATAAGTAGATATAGCTGATATTAGCCAGTTTCAATCTAACAATATGCCACCCATTTCTATGTATGTAGAATCTGGAATATTTTTTCTAATTAGTTGGAACTTGGAAATAAAGGTAACATTCACAGTGTTCGGAACAATATTTCTGGGTCGTTGACATTCCCTAGCTAGTCCCCTACGTTCCTTTCGTTAAAGATTACCGTTCCTTTGTCCGTTACCTATACTTAAATTAAACCTGTGTTCTATATTTAAGTGTTGCGACCATTGATATGTTAAGTTATTGAGTCTGCCCATGTTACATGTTTGTTGAACCAAAGCAATTATTTACACGCACAAATTAATGTTCTTTAAGCGTGCCTCAAAGTATCACTGAATTCATATTTTGTATAATTTTATATTTTATGTTTTTAATGAAATTGTCATATTTGTTTACAACATTTTACCATGTGGTGCCTTCAAATATATTATAATTATATATTCGCTGTTTAACTGTAATGTAACCAAAGATTATTATTTTTTAAATCGATCTTTATTTACTAATGTATATTTGAATAAACTACTAATTATTGCTTCAGTATTGTACAGCATATATAATTAGCATTTCTAGAGTAGGTACAAATCACCAAATAAATTATGCTCAAGTGTATTAATGTTACTTGTTGATCAAAGATATTTTTATACCACACGACGATTTATAATTGGTGTTTTTGCTAATTAAAGGTGGAAGTCTATGTAGTTATATAGGTAAATATATATACTGTGGACTTACTCTGTGGTTTTATTTCTTACTAAGTTCTATCAACGACTCCACTGTGTCTAGGTTTTTTTTGTGAGGGGAAAATCATCAATTGATTTGGAAGGGAGTGTCAGCCTCTTGCTAACTAAAAACCCCCCCGTTCCTTCTCCTGCTCTGGGCCGAGGTCGCGGTGCCTCATTGCGCTTACCTCGCAATCCCGGCTGACTGTGTCTAGGTAAAATGGTAACTTTTGTGTTCTGTTCTAAATATAATTTAAATAAAGATAATTTCTATACAGTTACGTTCAGTAGCTTTTTAAAGCCTTTGACTGCCGACAGATAACTGTTGAAAGCAAAAAGGTTGTAACTTTTTCATAGGTACATACATCCATTCATACTTACAGACATTCGCATTTATAATAGAATTAGGTTTTCGTTACGGTGACTGGTATTTAAATACAAGGGATTATTTATTATTTCACCTGCAACGTGTCTGTTTTTCTTGATTGTCCATATTGGAAATGGTTCGGATTTTTTCCACTATCTTGTCTGATGATGAGTGATAATGTGGCTTACAATGACTCACGCCTACGGATGAAATTTAATTTTCTATCCAATAAAATATACATAAAAATCAAAGACTAACAACACTTACTGAAAAACAAAACTCATACCATAAACTCGTGACTCCGTCTAATAAGGATCACAGCGCCACCTAGTGCACTTCCTATGCCTTTTATGAGGGTAAAAAAGAAAACCAAGAAATATAAGTTATAACTTTAATAATCATCTGCCTTATAAATAAATAATCAAAATCAATTTTAAAATAATACAAAGTGGTATATTATCGGCAGTTTCACTTTCCTTTACGTGAATTACTAAAAAAATAACATATAAAATTATGTACCTGTCCTTGATGTAAGGTACGCAACCATAGTATAAATATTATTTTCCCCTTGTTGGATATACCAATCTACATTATTTCCGCTAAATGAGGCTTTTTAAAATAATCTGAGTAAAAAGTGGCTCATTTTTCTGTTAAATAATAAAAAATATAGCACCACTCGCGAATAAAAACATAGGCTATCGGACCACTATTTCAAATAGCGACTTTTTGCCAATAAATTTAGTGTTCGATTGCATTCAAATTACTAAAAAGCCTCAACCCCATACAATATGTTCCACATAAAAAAATACATTTAGAAAGTCAAAAATAATAAAAATCTATATTATAGAATAACATATTTTGCTGTGATTGTATGCGTTGTAATGTGCGAAATACAAAATGTTGCATTGCAGAGTATAACAAGTTTATATGTACATATTAAGAAAAGATAAAAAAATGATAATAAACAAAATTTATACTAAATTCACTAATCTCACTTGGGTAGTGGAGCATATTGCAGTGGATAACAGACCTAATTTCCTTACTGATAGCAATCTAATTGCGCTGAGCGACGGAGATGTGTTGTAGGGGCGCGCTGGGGATCACGCCTCGGATGACTGGGTCAATGCAATCGACGTAGATATCTCCAGCCAGTTCCTCGACACCGATCTCAGGCTCGACCTTCGCCTGCTTTGTAGCGTCGTCGACTTCTTGGCGTACTTTTGCGTCGATTTCCTATAAACATAAGAGTATAATAAAAATCATGTGTAGGGAGAATGACTACAAGCTAGTATGATGGGGATAGTTTTGGTGTGGGTGATATTCCACTGTGTTTTTTTATACTAATATTATAAAGAGGTAAAATTTGAAGTTTATAAGTTTGTATGTAGTTGAGTTATTGTTTTTTTATTTGTTTATGTTATTTGGAACCGCTGGTCGGATTGCCAAAATTCTTTCACTGATACGTAGCTACAATGTTCCTGAGTGCTATACGCTATAAAACATCACGCTACGATCAAATGGAGCCGAGTAGCGGGTGGAACCGCGCGAGAGTTGCTAGTATATTATATAACCGGATTATGTGCTTACAAGGTAGTACTCGGATAAGTGGATGTATCACATCTCATCATCATAGCACTAAAGATGACTCCTATAGGAACTTTGGAGCGAGGCTCATAGTGTTTTTTTGGTTTCAAATAGATTCTCAAAAATCAAAAGAAACTTTCCATAGCAAGTTTCACAACTCTGTAGTTTATTTTGAAATGTGCTTAATTTACATTGTATTAAGGTAAGTATGTTATACCTTAAGTTGGTCAGGTGTTGCGAGTTCGTTGCTCAGAATCTTGTCCTTGTAGGAGGTGATGGGGTCCCTGGTTTGACGCACTTCCTGGATCTCATCGCGCGTACGGTATGAGGTGCCAGGGTCGGACATAGAGTGGCCAGAGTAACGATATGTTTCCATCTCCATTACCAATGGGCCTGCCGATAAAAAATTCAATCACCCTCAAAGAGAATTAAAATTTTAGAAGGCGCCCTACATTGAATTTGTAAATTAAGTTAATTGTTATTTACTCTTAACAAGTATCCGCAACGCGAAATAGGTCAAACGGTTCATATTAGTTGCATCCTGAAACAACTTTGCTTATCTAAAAAAGGCGGAAGATTGAATCCGTGGCGCATTTGAATTTGAAACAGTTAAAAAAATATCAACTCAGTGTAGTAGTAATGTTTCATTGTTGAACCGCTTCCAGGAAATGCTATATGTACAGTACGGCCGACGTATCTTGGCGAGTCTGAAGTTTGTCTGCGCAATGGATCTTTTAGGAACAAAATTGTGTACTGCGCAGCTAATCGGCTAACTTCAGAATCGCCAAGATACGATGACGGTATAGTACACTACACTAACCATGGGTTAATTTCTCAATGACTAAATAACTCGGTTAACTGTACACTGGCGGTTTCGTTCTAAATAATTATCGTTGAAAAATCGAAGTGCGAGTAGTTTTATATTTATTTAAATTTCATATTATAAACGAAACGAGCAGCTGGTCGTAAGTATACGTCGCCACAGACGCCCAAGGACACGCGAAAACCAGAAAACTAACACGACCGTAACCGGTCTTTTAGGGCTAACTTATTGAAGGATTGGGTGACTTATACAGTGAAAAACAAAGCAAACGTTGTTTCACGCCGGTTATGTATGTCATAGGTCGGCAAACGAGCAATCGGCGCCGCCAATGTACATTCGTAATACCAAAGGAGTTGAAACAAGTGCGTTGCCGGCCTCTTGTGGGATATTAGAAATTTAAAGATAGAGGATTTGAGGGAGGGGACGGAATGGACCTCCGGTAACCTCCCTCAGTTTTCTGTGAGGCCGTATCACTCCAGTCGAGCCAGCCCATTTGTGCCGATTTCAGTGAACCCGTAGTTTTAGTCCGGAATACATACCTTTACCACTGGTGCACCAGTCGATACAGAATTTAGTCGCCTCCCTGGTGGCGAGGACGTCCATACCGTCCACCCAGATGCCGGGAATGTAGTCACCGCGCGAGTAGTAGTCTGTGCTGGCTGATGATCGCTCCATACTTGTTCCCATACCTATAAAGCAATTGTACATACATGAATTAAAGGTGAGTACTATGAAATAGAACCGTAACATTAACCGAAACATATATATAAAAAAAAATCCGTAACCATAATCGAATCCAAAATAAAAGTTTCGGATAGTATCGGATAGGGGCGCAACTTAAGTGTGACATGTTATGACTAGTTATTTTGATCGACGCGGGCGCAGCTAACACACAAGCCACACGAATTGTTTGTTTGTTCTATTTTACTTTAAAATTTTAATATCCGCAACCGTAATTATCTTACACTTACCGTAACCGTATCCAGTATAATAATTAATCATTACTATATCCGTATGCAATTCGTATCCGAAATTTCATATCGATAACATCCCTGCTATTCAACCAGATATATAAATTCAATCGAAACGAGCTGTTTACCGGGCATAGCATAGTATAGCCCCCAAACAGTAACAGAAGTTTTCAAATATGTCAAGTAGTATCGTTTCCTACTCAATGCAAACACACAATCAAATCACATTGGAGTAGATTTGGTTCATTTGAAGAATGTTCAATACAGGCCCGCGTAAAATAGTGCACCGCCTTAACAAAACATTGAAGGGTCCTCAATAAAATTTCCGACAAAGCTCCGCACATCCTGAATCTGACACTCGACAGATCTAATCAATAGTGATATGAAAACCAAAAGTTACGCATAGTAAGAACAAACGAAATAGTACTGTAATAAAATCAAATAAAGATCAAAATTGTTCGAAAACGAATGTCGTAAAGTCAAATATATTCAATGTAGGTACGTATTCTACTTTCAGTTGCCTTGCATGTAGATTGCTATCAAAGTCGTTGTGGGAGGCCAGGTTTCAACAGTGGACATATGTGGGTAAAAATTTTCAATTTAATATAATATAATTAAGAGTTGCCCTCCTACACTAGGATTTCCTCTAGTGTCGTGGGTGCGTTTACAAACATAAAAATTCACACAAGCGGGTGGCTAACTGAAAGAACAGTTTGTGGATCACAAGTGTTGTGTTTCGTGCGGGAATCGAAACCTCGACACGTTGCACAGCAGCCAGTTGCCCAGGTACTGCCCCAACCATGTAGTCAGATCACTCGGGAAATCTTAATTTAGCCTTTTAATATTTTCTGAGCGTACGGCGCGTAGCGTTCTGGGCGTACCCTAATGACCTAACAGACCACCACAGATAGGACCCACTAAGGGTGATGTTTAGGGGGGATTGCGGATCAAGCGATTTTTTTTTGTGAGGGGTAATTCATCAAATGACTTCTCCCGCCCAGGGCCGGGCCGGAGGGAGTGTCAAACTCTTACTGACTTAAAATCCCCCTGTTCCTTCTTCTGCCTTATTGCGCTTACCCCGCAACCCCGGCTGAACATCAGCCCTATATGGCCCAGTCTGTGGTGGTCTATTGGGTCTTTGAGGCGCGCGCGGTTTTGGTCGGGCGGCGAGTTGCCCTTACTCGCCGTCCGCAGACCCACGCGCGGATCAAGCGTAAGAGTTTTTAATCAGTAATAGTCTGACACTTCCTCTTGATCCACCCAGGATAGATCCAGATTTTAGATTAAAAACGGTAATTACATTTGTCGTTTTTTTTTACATTTCTCTGAACGAACACTGTTCTCACAGTATCGAACCAACTAGATAATGTACCAAAGAATCTCTATGTGAAACTGATTTAAAAAGAGTAACCATGGAGTTTCTTGCTCGTTCTCCATCCACATACTCAATCTACACTTCGAAACGAACAATTAGCTTCTAAGAGGACTGACTGACAGACTGACACTTTTTATCTTTAAATTTTGTTTCAAAAGTGACTGTAATTGAAATAAATCATACTGTTTTTTTTCTGTAAATCAGTAAATATATTTTCTTTTTTTAAACAATATCCAAACGACATATTTGAGATAACGAAAACAATGGCGAAATTGTAAAACATTAATTCATTATGTTACATAAATCGAAATTGCGATAAATATGTCTAGCCAAACATTAGTCATGATAACAAGAAAAAAACGATGATAAGTGAGATTCATTGTTACATAATACAAATGACGAGTCATTAAGATCCATTTCTTACTTCACATAACCAAACCATCATATAAAATAAAACTGTCCATAGTTTCTTTAATTTTAATTTCGTGTATATTTTTCAAAGTTCAATAATACTTTACGCACTCACTCAACAGTCACGGTAAAGTCACGAGAAACATATTTGAATTAAAAAAAAAATTCAATTTAAACTTTAAAAACAAATCAAACGAAAAAGTAATTTCACACAATCAAATAAAGATCCAAATTGTTCGGAAATGAATGTTAAATCATCAAATACTTTCGATGTAGGTTCATATATACTGTAAGCAATAGAGTATAGAATCGTTTGCTCTTTAATTGGCTGTTCCGTGAATCGTAGTGTTGTCGTTAGACAATTTGACGTAGCAGGAAGCAGCGAGTTGTACCTAAACGGATCTATTACCAGCAGGGCCCTTTTTCAGTAGAAAACTATAAGTGTTCGATCGGGTCGATTGCCAGCAAGGAGATCCAAGTCTGGCAAATTATTAAATACTGTTATTTTTTTGGCCGTGGGACAGGGTCTTATAATATTCCCGATGTATGACAAAATACTAGTAAGTTAACCCCCTGCTATATGGGACTTAACATTACTGATGATAATTGGGTGGGGTTATACAGAACATGTAGTTGTGAATACATCCAGTGTTTTACGTAATTCTGTGGTACCTAGTCAAGAAAAAAACTCAGAGAATCTCAGGTGCGCTTGTGTGCTTGTGCATTCTATACATTCAAGAATGTAATAAACTAGCTATTCTCACGCGGTTTCACCCGCTGCTCCATTTAATCGTAGCATGATGTTTTCTAGCCTATAGCACTCAGAAACATAGTCAGTAGCTATCTATCAGTGAAAGAATTTTGGATATCCGACCTGCAGTTCCAAAGATTCCCCCTACATTCAAACTTACGACCTTACAAACTTACAAATTTTACCTCTTTATAATATTAGTATAGATTAAAACTGCTCGTAGAACAGAATATAATAAACTTTATCACCCATACGCTGTGAAGGTGAACTAAAGGTCGAACGGGAGCATTTCTTAGGCACTCTGTTCATAAACAAGTGTCATAACTAAAAGTTATAACCTAGGAACTGGGATTGTCTTAATTATTGTTATTCGTGGCAATGTATAAGTTACAATAAAAATATTTATATTTTATTTTTTAAACAGGGTTCGTTTTGTATTAAATTCCTATATTACATTTTATTTTTCTTGCGTCTATGTATGTATAGTTTAAACGAGAAAATATTAAAATTTATGTTGCCATTACTCAATTTTTTCGGAAACATATCTATCTAGGAGAAACATAGACTCGGCACTTAAAGACGCGTCTTTAAAAGGAAAAGAATCCAAATTCGGGTGGTATGTTTTTATTCTATACAGCCGAAGTAGCCGAAAAATATGCTTAATTTCATGATAGCCAAAGGGTCAATCAAAAGGTTGTAATAAATATTTATTATTGTTATTATTTTTAGCGTCCGCCGTAATTTGGGCAGCAGACGACCCAGCCCGTTGCCTTCTCTATCTGTTGGTTAATCTGGCCTTCTTGGTGACTACCAAGAGAAATTTTTAAATGAACCATATTTTTATATGCATAGGTCGACTAAACGACCACCCGGAGATAAGCAATTGCTGCCGTATATGGACAGTGAAACAATAAGGCAGTGAAAAATAAACATTAAAAGTAATTATAAATAATCAACAGAGATGAGGAATGTGTTCTTACCGTATCCATTGTTTTCACAGACAAACACGCAGGGCAAGTCCCACAGCTTTGCCATGTTGTATGCTTCAAACAGCTGTCCTTGGTTAGCGGCGCCGTCACCATACAATGCAAAGTTTACACCGCCATCACCTTTGTATTTGTGCGCGAAACCAATACCAGCTCCTAACGGCACCTGACGAACAATATTGTTAATGATCAATCCTTTATACTTTTGATTTGAAGCTGTTCAAGTCAGTAATGTATTAAGCAAGGATAGTTGTATGTGGGCAAAGTCAAAAAAGGATGAGAAGAAACATTGGGCTCATTAGTTTCAAGCACTTATTGTTTCCTAGCCATAATAAAGTCAATTCTTAAAAGTTCTGCCCCAATAACAACAAAACTTACTTGAGCTCCAACAATGCCGTTACCACCATAGAAATTCTTTGCATACAAATGCATAGAACCTCCTTTGCCACGTGATACTCCTGTTCTGCGACCAGTGAGTTCGGAAAGTACACCAAGTACGCTGGCACCCATCAGATAGGTCCACCCATGGCATCGGTAGGCAGTAATCACAGTGTCTACATCTCGCATAGCTGCACGCATTCCCACAGCTACGGCCTCCTGACCTGTTCAATAAAACAACAAATAAATACAATATTTTTTGTAACATAATGTTTTAGGTATTTGAATTAATCCTACAATGAAGTTAGGAGTTATAAATAATATTTAGATACCTATAATTTAATATTTTCGTTGGTTATGATGATAAAAGCGATTGTTTCTCAATAGGTATTAATAAAATAAATTCTTACCCGAGTATAAGTGGCAGAAACCACGGATAATCTTCTCCCTGTACAAATTGCCGGAAGCAGTTTCAATCCGACGCAGAATCGCCAATTGTTCATATAGTTTGAGAGCATCCTCCCTTGTCAGAGTAGCTGTTGTGGCTGGGCCTTTCTCCAATTTATGGAGTTTAAAAGGCTATAAAAAAACAGGTTAAATTTTATTTTTATTTTTCCTTTATATATTTAACTACTATACTACAAATGAACTCACAACCATAAATATTAAGCTACAAGTTAAAATTTAAATTGTATTTCAAATTACCTTAAAACTAACTATCCTTCATTTAACTCAAAAAGTCTTTATATCAAAATGTTTAAAGGGTCAAATCACTTTAAAAAGTTTGCACAGAGTTTAAAGGCATAAACAACAGTGCTCTATTTGTTATCATTTCACTCAGGTAACAGTCAAAGTAGAACTTTAACCTTCAAAACACCTTTATTTCATGAGCAATAAGGGCTGTATTAACAAGAACCGACAACAAAACATTGTTACACTTGACATATGAAGGTTAGGTTACATAATTGGAAAACTAACCAGTTTGTATTTTGATTCATATTAAATAACTACCGGCATTCATGAGCCTCGTTGTATGTTCCACTATAAACTATCTGAGCACAATTTAAATCGTAATTGATCTTAAATTAAAGCTACCTTGATTTCAAATGAAGCTTCACTCTTCGTACTGTATTTTGCACTAGAAGTAGTAGCAACTGGAGCACCCACTTTCTAAAATGAAAAAAAAATTGTTGAATATACACTTTTCGACTTTGTTTATTGTATTCTATCATCATATATAAAATTTACAATAGATAATACTTAAAAATCGCGAGGATAGACCCACCGTAACCGTATTACCGGCCAGAAGCTTAGCGACGGAAGGAATGATTTTACTCATTTTTGATAGTAGTTCTTCTAGAAAGCCCAGTGTTTTCAGTGATCCCCTTTAATAGGATCACTTTATTCTTTTTTTTTAGGTTTAATATTAAAATTAAAAACTACAAGCTGGCCCAGTGTCGTCGCTCAGGTCGAAAGTGACGTTTATGACATTGACATTCTGCTTATTGCTCTTGCTTTTTATTTGTTCACGTGGTAGCAACGCAAAGATACATATCAAATTCAGTCTATTCGAATAAACCCGCCTTTAAGTATTTCAACGTTTATTTATTCTATTATAATAAACTGTTTATTATAGTATTTTCATGGTCTTGGACTTCAAATTTAGATCATTTCATAAATGACAAAATGAGTGAAAGTGAAACGGACCATGCCTCGATTGGCATTATAGAAATATTTCAAAGAGAGCCATCTAAGAATAAAACAATATTGCGTAATTTTTTCATAATGCATATTTTGATAGTTCGATCTGTAAGAGTAGTATGTTAATAAGTTAGATTTTTAAGAGTTAAATTATTTTTAAGTGATGGGTGAAAGTGAAACGGACCGTGCCTCGATTGGCATTATAGGAATGTTTGTAAAGAGAGCCATCCATCAAAGGAATAAAACAATATTTAATAAGTATTTTTTTCTTATTGCATATTTTGATAGTTCGATTTGTAAGAGTATAATATAATAAATAGTATGTTAATAAGTTAGATTTTTAAGAGTTAAATTATTTTTAAGTGATGGTTTTATAACAACAATTAATTATTTTTAAAACACCCGAATATTCTCGAAAACAAAAAAAAATATCGGTATTCGTAAATGCATATTTTCAAAGAAAAATGTCGTTTCATCATTGACTGTCAGTGAATGACGAATCAAACGTATTGTAATACTTTTGCAACAAACGGAATATAAAAGTGTTAACAAATTTTTGTCGTCATCATTGATAGTGAAGTTCTTGTGGAAGACCATTTGTGTAAAATAGTGCCAGTTAATTAGTGCTATAACTATGGAGTTTCCTCACATTGGAAGGAATTGTTCATACAAATCTTGTAATAAACTAGGTAAGTTGTAAATAAAGTATCTGCTGTAAGATATAATAACGATATTCTTTGTTTTATAGAACAGCAGACTTCCAAAAGTTTTGTATACTGAACCTACACAATATGTTGTTAAAAAATAAAAATAACGTTCTTTGTTTTTAAAGCGTGATATTTGCTCTACGACTTAAAACCAAGTATTTTATGTATTTCAGACTTCCTGCCCTATAAATGTGGAGGTTGTAAAGCAATGTTCTGGTGAGTAATTTTGAGGTCAAACTTCTTAGATTGTAGTGCTAATTATAATTAGGCTGAAATCAAAACTTTAAATGTGTTAAGGAAGAAAATTAATACTGTAACTTTAATTTTAGAAAGACTTTTTTCACAGCTCTATAAAATACAAATAATGAACCACATTTTGTAGCCATATTTAATAAAAAGAGGTATGCATAATTATTTTCAGTACACATAATGTTGATTGTTCACATGAGAACCACAATTAAATATGGACTTTATGTTGTATTATGTTTAAATTAAAAGGGCTTTGAATGCTTATCTATAAACATAACATCATACTTTCTATAGCCCCGGGGTTCATAGAGGTACAAAAATATTAATTGTAAGATGGACTTTTATGTTGTAGGGACATTGAGTTCTTTGTTGGCATAATAATAATTATACTAAGTATGCATGGCATGTGCTAGATACAAAGTATTTTATTTTATGATCAGTGGCTCACTTTGGTTTTACAAAAGCTGGTTTTATTCCCTAACTGCAACAAACACACTAACTTGGCTAAGAATAGGCAAATGAGTACATGCCCTCAAAAAATTTATTGATTGAACTTAAAAGGTCTTATTTATTAATTTTTTTATTTATTTGGACAATCAGTAGTTGTTACATTAATTTGTCTTAACTTAATATTATTCTAAAATAATGGATAAATGCACAACATTTTAAGCAATGTAATGTCACAGCATGTGTCATAAGGTAACACTGGTTTTATAATACCCATTCAGTAATTACCTATATAAAAATAAAAAATAATAATAACAAAACAAGAAATAAAATGAGGACAAAGAAGAAATTTAATACAATTTAACGATCTTGTTTTAATCGTAACAACTCTAAAACAACTTTTTTGAATGGTCTTGTCTAATTGAGTCATAACTTTTTTCCAGTTCTGATCACTTTGCATACACAAAACATGAATGCCCTGCACCCGATACACGGAATGTCCAGGTTCCAGAATGCCCTTTGTGCGGCAAACCAGTCCCAGGAAAGCGAGGAGAGCCACCAGATGTTGCAGTTGGAACTCATATTGATAACCTCTGTACCTCAGACCCGGCTGTTGAGAGGCGGAAAAAAGTAAGTAGTATTTATTTGTATTTTTTTTACAAATTCTGTTATAATATTCATGCTGGTTGGTGATTGCAAGTTAATTCATCAAACCCCAAAGCGAACACATTTACGCACCTTTTGTTATTCTGTTGTCTCTTGAATAACCATAATAGAAAAGTTAAACAAATTTTATCCAAGTTTACTACTAATTTCTATGAAATGAATAGTTACTTGATTACCTTTCGCAACATCCTGTGGTCTTAGACAATTATTCTAGTTTGAGATGAAGCATTATTGATCTGTTTTATTTTGAAAATAACAGCCGCAAGTGTATTTGCTAAATGATATTAAAAAATTACATGTTAAACTGTTACAGCTACAATTGTGAAAATATTATTTCATATCGTTTACAGGTATTTACAAACCGGTGCACATTCAAAGGTTGCAAGAACAAAGAAATGGTACCGCTTGTTTGCAGTGAGTGCTCTCTCAACTTCTGTTTGCGACATCGACACGGTAGCGATCACGCGTGCGAAGGCAAGCTGGCTGCAAAAAGAAGACAGGCAGCGTGAGTATCTCTGTATTTCGTTTACAAATATTGTTTGGAATCATAACGCTCCTATTTGCTCCGCCATAAAAGTGTACTACAATAATAATACAACAGTACTATCTATTCTATTAATATTCTAGATTTAACGATCAGTGTGGGCTTCCGCCGCATCAAACTTCGAAATTTTGTTATTATTATCAACAAAAAGTTCCTTTTTCCCGTCCAAAGCGTGCGGAATTCTACCTCGCTAAAGCTCGTTATGCTTCTTATAGCGAGTACATTTTTTTTAGACAGTGACAGCAAAAACCTTGCCCCACACTAGGAATTTCTTCTGTGTCGTGGGTTCGGTTACTGTAATATGAATAAGAGACTTGGATCTTGGATACTTGACTTTAATAATATGTATAGACAACGATTTGTTAATCACACAAAGAGTTGTTCCGTGCGGAAGTCGAACGCCTCTACACGTTGCACGGCAACCACTTGCCCAGCCACCGCACCAACTGTTCAGACAGTTATAATAGGCAAGAATACAGCCGAAATTAATCTATTCTTATTTTTACATGTTTTTAGTGAAGCAGCTATGGCTAGGATTAAAGCGAACGAAAATAAAATGACACACACGCCAGTTGCGGCAAAAGTTACAGCCTTCTCCGAAGTGCAAGGAAACATGGTTAGTAAAAGTTTTAATGAATACATGAATTTCATGAAAATTATTATTTTTCTCTGATTTGGCATGATTGAACATTTATAATGAATGAAACTACGTTCCACAGCAAATTACATTTTGGAACAAGTAGGTGCAAAATAACACTTCTGTTATTGTTTTATTTTGTCTGACTATGAAAAGCGCTGTTTTCAAGTGAAATCAGTTGATGATAGTTAATCTGATTAATTTTGTTTGAATTTGTAACGTAACTACCTACTTATCAAATGAAAATAAGAAACTTGTAATTGTGGAGCAATCTTTTTTATGTGGTATGTCGGCAATCAAGCTGACTGATTACCTGATGGTAAGCAATCGGCGCCACCACATGGACTCTAGCAAAGGAAAAGGAACGAAAGGACTTACGAGTCTGTTGCCAGCCTTTTAGAGATAAAGAATTCGGATATTTAAGGATTGGGAAGAGATAGGTGGGGATTGGGCCTCCTGTAACCTCACTCAAACGGCGAAACACAACGGTGTGGTTGTTTCACGCCGGTTTTCTGTGAGACCGTGGTATGACTCCGATCGACCCGACCCATTCATGCCTAAGCTTGGCTCTCCCACACTTAAAATGGTCCACTGTATGTGTTACATGTGGTATTTCTTTACTCATGATGAAAGAAAATAAAATAGTATTTTTTTGCCTTTTACAGACTGAAGATGAAGCGTTGGCGCACGCGTTAGCGATGTCTATGCAAGAAGAGAACACAAGCTTACATGCGCGAGACACTGCCTTTGCCCGTGCCCTCGCCCGACAAAGGGTGGGGGGTGAGCAAAGTTCCAGGTGCACGGTCTCGTAGCAAGCAAATTGAACACAGTAAACTTGTACCTAATAACATAAGAGGAGGCTATGATGCACAAAATTAATCAGCAGGGCTACATGTATCTAGGTTATGAAACTAAACAACTTCCTTTTAATACATGACTATCAGAAATATTTTTTATGTCAAAATCTGCAGTAGCGCATTCAACCAAATACAAAAATAATATTTTAATATGATATAATAAAGAAATGTCTTCTGTTTTTTTAAATCAATTTGTATGAATTTTTTTTTTCTTGAAACTCTCATGTGCTGTGGTATGTTGTTCAGTTTCATAACCTATTTATTTTGTTATGTATTCAAACACAAAGAGTGTGATATTTTGTTAATAATGATCTTGTAATCAATAATTATTGTGTAATTGGATATAATAATACAATATTATTGGTCTAATGCATGCAATAAATAAGTTGGATGCTGCAAGATCATCAAGCTGAAGATCGAGCTGTAAATAGAATAGCAATAATAATAAAAAATAGCCATCCAGTACCAAAATATAGTTTTCACAAAGGCCTTTGATTTTTAAATAGAAATCACTTAGTTTTATCTTAGATTTGAATTTTCGTTCTTATGTACATATTATACTCTTTATACAAACAAAAAAACCTCTGAATACCCATTCCTTAGTCATTAACTTACTGCATAATGATATAATAAAATTGTGAATATTTCAATTTTGTTATATTTAATTGACGAGATGAAAATTGAAAAGATAAAAAATAAAAGGTGTCTGTTATTCTTATGGTGTGTGCTTAATAATTTTATTCACGTAAAGTGAAATGGATAAGAAGACTAATTATTTTCTTAAATTTAATTTAATATATAAATAGTACAGTGGAAAACAGGCTATATATATACTTCGCTATAATCTGACATTTTTTTTCCGTTACGACATCATCATTGGGTCAACTGGTCGCAAGCGAGATAAAAGGCCAGGTACTAATAGGGTGTTTTATGTATTTTTTTTTTGTTTGTAGTCTTGTATTGTAAACATTGTAGGCTTAAGGATTTCCTACCTTTCCTTACCTTTTTAGAATTTAAAAAGGCGGGACGTTACGTGATTATAGATCTTCTCCACTTGTCACGCGGCTTAAAGACACTATTTATTAATAAATAAAAATAATTTTGAACCTTTTGACCAAGTTTCTTAAAACGTTTTTTGTATATAAGATGACTAAAGTGTAGTCTTGTTTGCCGTATCTGTATGTTACTGACATATCTCTTAGGGACTGACCTTAAGGCATCCAGTCCTCGACGCACCTGTGCGTTCTATACATTAATGTATAGAACGCACAGGTGCGTCGAGGGCACACAGAGTAGCGTAAGGAAACGCACATACGCGTCGGGGGCACTGGATGCGTTAAAAAATAATAATACGAGATAATCCCACTAATACTATAACCGCGAATGTTTGGAAGTTTATTACTCTTCTACATAGAAACTACTGAATGGATTTAAATCAAATTTTGAACAGAGATAGATTATAGTCTGGAATAAAACACGGGGTCACTTAATTTTACAACGTAACGCTAGAAGCAATGTAAAAATAATTTCGACTACTCTTAGGCCAAGATCGAAGCAAAACTGTTTATGGACGAACCGTAAAGGTACTGCACTACATTTATTAAAAACCAGCTACATACTCGCGCGCTGTTTCACCCGCTGCTCGCTCCTACAATGTTTTATAGCCTAAAGCCTTTCTCAATGAATGGTATATTAAACACAAAAATAATTAGTTGTGCAGTTACGTTAGCCGCGCGACGTCGTGGTGATGCGCGAGCTGCTCGTGAATCAGTCCCGTTGACTTGAAACTAGTAGAGCTTTTCTCAGTTAATCATCTCACGTGGGTCGTTAGATTTTTTATGTAATAATAGGTCGGCAAACGAGCAGACGGGTTACCTGATGGGAAGTAATCAGCGCCGCCCATGGACACCCGCAACGGAGGAGTTACGGGTGCGTTGCCGACCTTTTAGGGATTAGGGTTTTAGAGATTTAGGGATTGGGAGGGATCGGGGAAGGGGAAGGATTGGGCCTCCAGTAACCTCACTCACACGGCGAAACACAACGCTATTCTCACGATACACTACATACTTACAGCACTCAGCCACATTTCTTTGTGCTCCTGTGGCTCAGAACCATAATACAACAGAATGGGAGTGTAACTACGCGGTACAATTTTCAGTGGATGTAATAGCACCCTTACGGCCTTATTACAAAACAAAGTTTTCTTTAGTCTAGTTTTGAACCATTGAGCCGGTTTTTGCATTCCATATTGGACATAGGTGATAAGATTCATAATACAAAACCTGTCACAATGGTTTAAACCTAGACTAAACATAGATCTTGTTTTGTAATAAGGGAGTTATAGTTTGTGGAAAAATACTTCGTCATCGATAAAAGCCTAGGTATAATTTGGTTTAGATAATTGTAGTGCACGATCCTTGCAGCTAAAATTAACAAGGAATTGATGTTATTTAGTAATTGTCTGTTGAATACTTCATTGTTTGCTGTTAACATAAAATTAAATAGGTATTGCACTAATAATAAAATAATGTCGAAACTCAAATTATTTTGAATTTCATTATGTCGTACTCGAACGTTAAAAAACTAGAATATTAATTTAAAAACATGAAAAGTAAAATGTTTGTAGACGTCAAAAAAGCCCACTTTGGTATAAACATTTCAAATTGGGTAGTTTCCTTGGTAAATAAATAAATTCGACGTTTCTATACAATAAAATATTGAAAAATAACTATACTTTTATTCATCGATCGATCGATGCACTGAATTTTAGATATTTTTTGCAAATTTTTAAGAAATAAGTAAAATATTTGACGCTAAAAATCTATGATGTCATAACTCATTTTTTCATACAAATTTCATAGAAAAGTACGTTTTCGACATTTGGATAAAAGTATTGAATTTGACTATTTGGAAACTACCGTATTGTACTTATATATTCTTTGTTATCCCTATTATTAGTGCAGTATGTAAAGTATATTCTTGCTGTTTTCTACATAATATGTGTACCGTAAAACGGGGTGAATAGATGTTGGCGAATTTTCCTTGTATCTATTTACCCGCCTCCTGTTTTTATTCACGCCTCAAATTCTATTCACCCCATTTTACCTTTAGGTAGTGCAACTGTATAATGTAAAGAAATATGTATTTTTATATTCTGTCTTATAACACTCCTATATGTGAAGATACATTATCTACACTGAATTTATTAGATGTATGTATATATATACAATATGTGTAATGGATGTATATTTATCTGTTATAGCCTAAAGTTGTAAATTAAACTATCAGCATGTTAAACTTTGTTGTTTAAATTTGTAACGACGCTTTTTTATTTTGCCGTGGAAAGAATAAAAAACAATATACCTACAACGTTTATTATCCAATAAAAGTTGCTGGTAGAAACTACAGTTGGCTAGCACACTATAATTTCAAGGTCTGTTCGCAACTTAAACATATAAATTCTCCTTTTAGCAGAAATTAAAGTCTTAACTCTAGTCTGTTTGTCTATTACTTAATATGATACTTAGTTATTAACAACGCGACCTATTTGTTTGCTGTGACCTTTTTTAAGCCAACGATTTTGTCTAAAGAAATGTGTAGGTACAGTGGCTAGCAGGTCATACTTATACAATTTTTATTGGATTTTGGGATTTATATCAAAACAATAAAATGGAAAATCGAATATGGGCAGAAACAAATAAGTTCACTTGACCTGATGATCACTTATACAACCTAAATAAGCATTACTGAGTAAGTCTAAGTGAGAATAATTATAGCTTGAATCATTTTTAAATGTTTGTTGTACATAAAAAAATTATAAAAACTAAAATTTAATTCAATTTTGTAGTTTACAAATTTAACATACAGTTTGCTTAGGTACGCAACGTACGTTTGTTCCGCTGCTAAGTCGAATATTAAGTTTAATAAATATTAAATATTTTTTGAGATGAGTGTTAAGAAAATAAAATCATTTACAAAGACTAGTTGTGTTTTCCTAAAGTAGATATCTATACCATACCTATCTTGTAAACGTTGGCCCAAAGGCTGACTGGTAAGAAATTGTAATAAATTCTGGCATTTAGTACCTACGCCTTAAGTACCAAGTATTGGCATAAATAAATGAAATTCAAAAACGACGTTGGCTACTGATAGTTTACAATTCGGTTTATAGATTACAAAAAGCTGCGACTTCCGTTAAGACCCTTGGTTTTTCCTTTGCGATAAGAACTATACCTATTTTTTTTATGTAATTGATCGGCAAACGATCAGATGAATTACCTGATTTGTTACAATCTCATCCGAGCTACCATTTTGGAAATATAAACCATTTTCTAAAAATACGAAAAATGAAAATGGCCCATAACTCGGAAACGGTGCGTCGGAGGACCATGCTTCTCAGATCGTAAATGGTTACTGTAAGCAAGGCCAAACCGATTATGCAAAAAAATCGGCAAGTTTTCGAAAAAAAAAACTCCGAAAATTTTACTGTCCCAAAAATTTTTTTTTCGAAAAAATATTTTTTTGTTTTCTTTGCTGCTCATAGTGCCCCTAAGCGTATACTCCAACTCCTACAACTCCGCCCCTAAGACGACCCACTGACCGTTATATGTTTTTCAATGTGACACCATTGTCTTATTATTTCAGGGAGCCCAACTACTATGTCCCATGTAATACTTTGAATTTTCCAGTTTCACTAGTCTTCCTACAGTTCTTAGGGTACCTACCTTGATAGTTTTTAAATAACCTTATTAAATGAACGGAAATAAAATCAATATAAACCCATAACAATTTTATTAACAAGCATAATAAACAATAAACAATGTAAATAAAATAATTAGTTTTATCACAGGAGCCCATAAAATACTACATTCTACAAAATATTATATCTTTGTGTTCCTATTTGGTATGTTGCAATTATTCTATGCTTATATTCGCTATACAGGATGTCCGGTAATAAATGGATAACATTGAAATCCCTTTTAGTACATCTTACGGCCATTCAGAAAAAAATGAAAAGGAAATTATCATAAGTAGTACCTAGTTATGATATCTTGAAGACGAAGAACTGGTGCTAGAGGAAAATGATCCTTCGACATTCACTTACATTACCTACATTATTGCATAATAAATTATGCACAATATGTCTAAAATAAATTAATTTGCAAGTTTTTTATACAACTTTCTTTTCGTTGGTATATTTTCTGAATGGCCATAAGATAAGAGGCTTTGAAAGGAAAAAAACATTCTTTACCGGACACCCTGTGTAAAGGAATGATTAAATCGATTGCCTGTTTTCATCGAACAGGCACATCCTAACTAACAGGCCGATTTCAAATAATCTTTCATCATTGGAAAGACTCTTTTATCGTGTTTTGTTTACCAGGTGACGAATGTGTGGACCTCTAGTCTTGCTCCAATAGAGAGATGCTAGTGTTATACCTCAGGAAATTCAAATCATGACAGCTTCATTGATCATATTGAGCTCTTATTACGGAAATAGTAAATACATTTTTTATAAATAGGTAGGCCTTAAAGCACTTTTACATGTCAACATTATATAAAAAAACAAGATGAAGCCAGCATTTCCTTTAAACAAAACTTAAAATTTATATAGATAAAATCTAGATTAATAGAGTGACATCTGGTTAGCAAGTGAATTAGTCACAGTTGAAAACCTAGTCTCAATATAAAAATAAACGTTAATATTGGTAAAATGTCCGATGGTTTAAAAAATTGATTGATGAAATTAATTTTATAATAATAATATAGGTACGTCATAACTTCAATAACGGTTATGTTCAATAACCCATACTTTGGTAGAGTTGGCTACTTAGTATACCTAGTATTTATAAGCTTAATTTGTCAGAGTCCTTCATCGTTATTAGCAAAAACCAAAAGACAATGAAGGTTAGCCATAATTATTCCAAAAACTATGTAAAGGTAAGTAGAACCTTAGTCATATACTTTTTTCATAAATTGCTCAAAAGAGCTTTGTTGTGCAATGTTCTGAATTTATGATTATCATTTAGATAACTTGTTATAAATTCCGGAGGGTTCCTGCTTAGAAATAACTCCATACACATGTATCTAGCAGCGGTCAAGCGCTTGCGCTCAGCATTCGACCGGCAAAGGTTCTTATGCGCGTGCGCGGCGAAACTTGCTGCAGACTTCTCAACTAACTTGGCAGTCACAACCACTTTAGGATCGTCTTCTAAAGGCGTCTGAAAATAAATTATGATTAGTCAAACACCTTTTGCTGTTACTAAGCAAAGGTCATTTTGCATAATATGCCACATTTAAGTAGTATTCCAAGCATGTCTAAAACTAACTCGTTTAGGAATGATGTATTTACGAACCCAATGCTGGACTTTGTGGTTTCAAAATAAGGGTTCGTCATAATCTATTCTCGATAAGCAGGTTGAAGATTGCAGTTTAAAAAAGGGTGGGCTGTCCAGGCCTGTTCTCTAAATGCTTTTTATGGGACAGGACGGTAAACGAGTAGACCTGATGCTAAGCAATCAGGCGGCGACCATAGATACTCGCAAACCCAGTAGAATGAGTAGAATCACCGATACGTTGTCATCCTTTTGAGGGTTGTTATATAGGTATTTGAAAATTGGGTTGTTTCCGTGTTCGGAAATAAATTAATTCGACGTTTCAATACAATAAAATATTGAAAAATAACTATACTTTTATTCATCGATCGATCAATACACTAAATTTTTTCATATTTTTAGCAATTTTAGAACAGGTACGTCATTTGACGCAAAAATATTATGACGTCATAGCTCAGTGTTTCATACAAATTTCATAGAAAAGTATCGTTTTTGACATTCGGATAAAAGTATTGAATTTGACTAGTTGGAAACTATGGTATTGTGTATGATGGCCTTAGTCAGAACACACCAGCGGGAAGAATTTACTATCATTCTGATGAACCACTACCTACATAATATAAAACAAATAGTATCTTTCTCAGTCCCTATATCCGTAAGAGTTCCAGATTTAAGCATGCATAGGCATGCTTAAATCTGTAAGGTACGCAACGAATTTCGACGCGGTTTTTTTAATTAATTGAAGGGGAAGGTTTTTATGTATATTAACATGCATTAAATAGTGGAAAAGTTTAGAGAGTTAATCCTAACTTTAAAATTACAAACATTGAAATAAAACTACTTACAGAGAAACGTATCCATTGCCAGATTTGAAACCTGGATATTTCTGCTGTTGCGGAATCTTCAACATTACCGCTATAGAAGAAATGCCCGATGCCGGCTAACCAATAGTAGATGAAGAGAATGGAGATAGCCACGTTATGCTTCAGACCTTGCAACGTCACACCATCACGTGGTATAGACAGAAGGTCCTGAGCTGTAATATTCACATTGATTTGTTTGCCTATCTGATTTGGTGTGGCTCCGCTTTTCTTCCAGAGCTGTAAATAACATCAATTATTTAAAATTGTAGACAATTATCCTGGGACATACCTATACCACGTACCTACAGTTAACATAGCCATTTCTGTCTTTTTTTATATTAGATATACTAGCTACCAACCGCGGAATGGCCATTGTGGTTTGTTGATAAAAAGTAGCCAATTTGTTTATCCAGGGGAAATTTAACCAAATCAGTCCAGCCGTATTTGCATGAAAGAATAACAAACATTTATCCATACATTCTCAAACATACCTACACATTTTTAATATTAGTAGCAATCAATTTTATTATTTTGATATGAATAATTTTTTTACAGTGGCCATTTGTCTTACTTCTCTTACGAAAATACGAAATTTCGAGACAAATTCGTCTTCTTGACATTGAAACACTTCCATGATTTCAATAAAAATTAGTCTGGTAAAAAAAAATAATTAACTTAGTAAGTAAGTAGGTAAGTAGATAAAACATTTTCCGTGAAGTTTGCGATTGTTACGCTTAAGTACTTATCTACCAACAAAAACTATTGTTCTATTAAGTAGTTTTTGTGTTTATAATTTGAAGTCTTACTTTTTTTTATGGCAACTGAGTCTTCAATCAAATGTTGTCGAAGTCTTACTTATTTTAAACTGCAAGTTGTATCTTTGCTTATGACCTACTTATTACAGGAAAACGTGAAGGTGTGTGTTTGTCGTCTAAATTTCTGTAAGTATGTATTCTGAAAGAGAATACCTATTGATATCTTGATAATGATTGTTACAGTACCTATTTTGTAAAATACGAACAAGTACGAACCTCGTTGATTTGAGGCACAACTCTTGCATCGTAGACCATGAATCCATCAACACCACATTCGATCTCCTTTGATTTTGCAGCCAGTATCTTTGTTATTATAACTTTAGAGCTGAAATTATAAATAACTTAAATACAGACTTCTTTTAAGGCACATAATATGTAGGTATCTGTCTGTCTATCTATCTGTACTTAGTACCTACCTTTGCTCGAAATATTTTTCTCACAATTGGTTTTTTGCCCTGCAACCAATTAACATACCTACCTACAACATGAATCGAAATCGTGAGAATCTTTTCCGATATTGTAGGTATAGTAGGTACCTATAAAATGTAAGTCCTACACTACACATCTCAGGTAACGTTGATACATAAACATGGCTGCTTTTCTCTCTTTTTTCATTTCTGGCATTCAAAAAACCTTTTCCACTTTTTGTGTAGATATTGTGGATAATTCATCAACTCATCATTTAATTGTCCTAAGCGGGATCCCAGCATTCCCAGCCCGTCTATAGAAGTCAGAAACCAGTCACTCCATCAACCATGCAGAAGACAATTTGTGTGTTTTCATTTTGACATCACAATTCTATGTAAGTACGGATGTACGGTATAATTTTTGACATTTCGATAAAATTATTGAATTTGTGGTTGGCAAATAATAGAGTACCTATTCCTCGAATAAGATCAGCTCTACCCGCAATACATTCTTCTAGTTGGTAAGGGTCCAACTCGCTAAAAATAAATACCTATTTACCCTTAGGGGTGTCTTTAAAGGGGCCTGGTACCCAATTACTACTTATAATTATTCACAAACACATCATCAGCCTATAAGTGCCCACTGCTGAGCAAAAAGCCTCTTCTGACAAGAAGAAGGTTTGAGCATTAATCACCAGGTTCGCTCCAGGCGTACCTATCGGCGATTTCAAACTAATAATTAGAAATTATTCAGATTTCATATCCAGATTTCACCGTATATCAGTGGTGTCTATATAATCATAGAAAGTACATATAACTCGGAAAAAGTCACCTTGGTACTTGCCAGATTTCGAACCAGCTCCCTCATGCATGAGAAGCGGACGCCTTAACCTTCGGCCCACCACTATTAATTTTAAAAGATTTAATAAAAGCTTACTCTTTGTCATTGACGTCGGAACCGGGTTTCAACATAGCGGCTGCCATACCACCAGTGGCAGGAGCACCTCTAGCGTGGCATGTACTTACAACCAGCTTCATATAACTGTTCAGGAAGTGGCGATCCATATTCACGTACTTATTGCGATCCGGTAGCAAGAACTCCTTGCGATCCCCTAGAAACAATAGCCTTGCATTGATGTTTCGATAAAGTACATTTATAAAGATATTCACTATCTGGTAAGACATTAAACTTTTATTCCATTTGATAAACAGTAGATAACAAACAATGGGAGCCAAGAAATATATCATTTTTTCATAGTTATTTGTAGAGTTTTAATAAATGATATATTAAAATTTTTGAGGCTATAAGAAATTACAGAAGGATAAAATAATTATAACTATTCCAACAGGGGGAGAAGAGCCTATAGGTAGTTAAAAAATAAATCCTAAAGAGAACATCAAGATAAAATAAATGTAATAGTTACCAAACTTGGATATTATAGATGCACAGTAATCCCATATGCCACAGTTAAGACCTAATGAATGGTCTCTTAATGCATATAAAATTTCGTCTAATTCAAAACTAGACACTATGTTCTCAATTAAAACACATGCTTTTATTGTGCCCTGTGGCAGACCAAGTTCATTCTGAGCCCAAACAAATATTTCATTCCACATCAATGCTTCTGTCGCCCCCTCCAATTTGGACAGGTAAAAGTAAGGACCACTATTAGCTTCATAAAGAAGTTTTCCATTGTGGTACATCAAAACTGCAAAATCAACCAAAGGACCAATGGCTTCCTTGCCTTCGATCTAAAACATACATATAATAAATAAAATTGATTTCAACATTAGTCATTCAATATAATAATACTCATAGATAATGTTAGACATTTATCAAAGGATTTGTTACCAAAATATTGTGTTCTATCATGTTCCAAGCTCTGGGTCTCAACATCAATACAGGGCATGTAGTGATAGTTATGGGTGCTCCAAGAAGCTTACCCATTACAGCTAACTTAATATTCTGGTATGCCTGCAATTGATTCTTCCATGTGGGGCAGTGCCCATCATCAAAGTCAACTTGAATGCCTTGCACATCTTCATTGAGAGAAGAAACAAAGTGAGCGGTGTTTGATGCTGAGACATCGCCAAGGTCTAAGTGCCGATTTCTACAAAACAAAGATATAAAACTAAGTAAATTATAATGAATAAGTACTTACTGTACTTAGTAATTGTTCTAAATCCATAATTGTTTAATTATGTTCACATTTTTCTGGTAGACAAATCAAACATTTTGTTACCTATGTATTGTTAGTAGAACTAAAGTCGAATAAAAAATAACAAGCTCACAATATTAATATAAGTACTCACTGTAATCTAGGTGGCAGGGGAGCAATAGTCCAGGATTTATCACTTCTTTCGGGCGACTTTTTAAAGTCCAAAGTCGAAAGAGTTTGCGTTATGACAGTGCGTTGCAACCTATCTTTATAAAATTGTTCAATTTGCTTCTCGAACGTCTTGTGAATTCTCCATATAAAATCCACAGCTCCATCATTAAAAATAGTCTTTTGTATTTCTTCAAATTTTGGCGGTGCCGATTGAAGAAACAGTACTTTACTGTCCTTGTTTGGCATTTTTACAAATTATAATTTGCTGCTTGAGATATAGAAGACAGATTTAGAAAATATGTTGAATCTACTGTGCAACTATCGAACTAAAGTACGAACATTCACTTCAGTGAACTTATTTTGTTTATATCCTACTTCCTTATCACTGCTTATCAATCTTCTACTACGGGTTGGTATACTCAAGCACAAAAACGCTTGCATTTACTAATTTATTATTTTTATTTATAGGTTCCCGACATTTTTATTATTAAATTAAAAAATAAATTGGTCATTTAATACTTATATCTTTAAAATTTACTAAATGTAAAATGGAAGGTAAAATCCAACTTTAGGGTTAAAAACATGGTTTACACATTGAATGTCCCCGACGCGTATGTGTGTTGCGTTTCGTATACTTAACTTTGTATTACTATGTACCCTCTACTCACATGTGATTTTGCGTTTCATACATTGTACCCTTGCCTTTTACCTGGTGCCTACGACGCGTCTATTTTTTTTTTGTTTTACGGAATAGATCTGCAAACAGGCAGACGTATTACCTGATGGTAAGCAATTTACCGTGCCGTGGCGGTAAACTTTTAAAGTGTTTTTGGATTTAATTACAAATTTACAACATGCGGAGACCTTGAATCGTAGTAGGACGGTTCTCTAAACGAATATTGGTTTCTCCTTCTCTTTAGTATGTTGGACATTGCCAATATTTTTTATGTAGAAATAAAACCCGTGAAATATTAAAATATTCTACATTTACATTTTTCGTGTGACTGTACCATATAATACCATGGTCATTTGAATTTATGTCATATATTGAGATGTTACTGTCAAAAAATTGACACTTGACAATAAACCTACAGACTATAGCACCCTTACATCATAGACAATACACAAATATACTGATAAATTACATTGTCCAATTTGCAGAGCCCTAGTTGGGCTAACGCGCTAGATTTGTGTTGTGTATTGGCAGACTGGCAATTAGATAGGTACAGATCCAATTTAGTGTGACCTTATGGACACAGCCTACCTATCAAGTGGGATTTGATATTGTTAGAAGAATTTAGTTATGTAAAATATGTCGACAAAATCCAAACTGTGGAAATTCGCCCAAGAACCAAAGATACCGAAATAGGTCTGATAATCTGCAGGCTGACGTGGAAATGGGCAGGCCTCGTCGCTCAAAGGACAGACGATTTTTTTTAACCACGTGATAGGAATTTTGTGTCCCTTTACACTTTTACTACTTATTTTATGGGCGAGAGTGTCACATGCTATGTACAATTCAAATTAAATTATCCGAATTCTAGGATTTTCAGGACCTCTCCGGTGCCACTGTGAGTCAGCCAGCCAGATCGTGCTCTGGTCGCACCCCAGAGGGTCATCATCTGCGGTTATCGCATGAACTCCGGCGGCAATCCTTCTTGCTGCGTCACCGAAGTGACATCTGGAGGCGTTGATGGGACAAAACTCTTTTTCTGGTAGGATGAGCTCTGGAGCAATTTCATGGCGGAGTGAAAGCGTCGCCCCTTTCACTGTCGCAACTGAGGGCCAAGAACCTTGTTGTATCAGCCGTAAAAAGGAGAAATCTTCCTCTAAAGAATGGCTAGAAAGTCTGGCACTTACTTTAAACGAGAGGTCATAATATGGTGTTTCGCCACACAAAAACTGTCTTCTCTACTATGTCGTGAGAGGTATTAGTTATAAACTTATAAACTATTAACTTTTGCCCGCGACTCCGTTAGCGTGGAATAGTGACTTCCTCTCTATTTAGTCTGTGGCTGTCACTTCCAGTTATAGTGTATAATCTATGGTTGTCAAGTGTCACGTCAAAACGTGAACGTAAACGTAGTGGTTACACACTCTTTGTGTCACGTTAAATATTGCACATAAATTGGCTATTGGTATTGGTAAACCTGTATTTATTAAATTATTCTATTAATATCGGTCGTTCTACCTGCATTATTTACTATCAAGGCAACGCTTATTGCCGCCACAACCTCAAGCTTTATGTATGGTATTCTGTGTTTCACTAATTTTGTAACAAAAATATGGAGGACGCAGCTTCTCAGAAAACAGTCACAGAGGAAATAAAATTTAAACCTAGAAAGAAACAAAACCTGCGCCAGCGTATCAAAGATGATGATGATTCTGAGGACGAACAATACATCTTGGCTAAACTGGAAGAAACTAAGGTGTTGCAGAAACTTCGAGAACGGCCCAATGGTGTTAGTGTGATTGCTTTGGCTACGGGTCAGAAGACAACGATTGAGGAAGAAATTACTTGTAAGGACCCATTTAAAGTGAAAGCTGGAGGAATGGTGAACATGCAGGCATTGAAAAGTGGTAAAGTTAAGCAAGTTGATGATGCGTACGATACTGGCATTGGTACTCAGTTTTCAGCCGAGACCAACAAACGTGATGAAGATGAAGAAATGATGAAATATATCGAAGAACAATTAGCAAAACGAAAAGGTATGTTCTTTAATACTTGAATAAAAGAAAAGACGAACAGAATGAGAGAAATAGTACAAAAGGCAAAAGAATTTCTGAGAATGTTGAGAGATTTTTTATGAACTCTACTTATTTATTTGCTACATAAGTAGGGTTGCCAGGCCATAAAATGCCGCACACTATATAAGGCTGGACATTTTGCCCTAAAAGCTGGATATGTTTTTTTATTGCCAAACATAATGTTTTTAAAGCTGGGCTGTTGAAAATATTAAATATTTATACGTGTTGAAAAGTAAGGATATTCGATATTTATTAAAAGTTGGACATAATATTTATAATAAAAAAAAACTTGTTTACGAATTTGAAATGTTTATTAAGTTACACTTTTACAGTTTTACTTACAAATGAATCGTCAGTCTTTTGTAGATAATTAAGTATTATTAAAACTAAAAAACAAACGAATATAGCTCTCTTTTGGCATTCTTAATACTATGAACTAAAAAATATAATAAAACAAATAAAAATAATCATTCTTCTGGAAAGTAACAAAAAGATAATATTAATTTTACTGCTAGGTAAGAATTTACTTTATATTAGTTATTTATAGAACAATTTAAAATCTTTAAAAAATAACAAAATCTAGTCAAGAATTTTGTTTTCCTTAGAAATCATATTGTAAAATTCTTTACATGTTAATTTTAACCCATTCAATGCCACCTTTTTTTAAACACTACTTACGAGGTGCCACCAACTTTTATTATGTATTGTGGTTGAAAATAGATTATTATAATGACGATATTTTATATAATATAACTATAAAAAAATTGTAAAATATTTTTTTATAATATACAGGAACTTACAAAAAGATATGAGATAGTATAAAAACATAACTTGTAAAAAGTAAAGTCTCGCAAATCATTTCTTCTGCCATAAAATGATGAGAATTGGCAATCGGACTACTTATGAGTTACCTACATTTTTTTCATGCGATTGCCAAGTCAATCTATTTATGAATATACTTAGTATACACCATTAAATTTTGATAGTTTTAAACCCGTGGAGGGTCGATCCGGTACATGAAACACTATCGATTTTTAAGATAAAATAAAAAATAAAGTACATTTTCCTAAGACTCAAAATAATTTATAGACATGTACGAAATTAATTTCATTAATTAAACGAGTCAATGAACTCACCCAGCTGATGTTTACTTAAATAAATTAATTTTGTACATGCCCAATATGTATTACATGGATCTCACAATTTTTACGGTAAATGAACTGATTTGCAAGACTGCTTTTTTACAACATATGATTTTGATAGCTTGTGGTTTATATTTGTGTGTTTATATGTGCATGAGCTTATTCACTATATTTGTGGTATAACCTGTAACAATCAGTAATACAAAAACCAGGCTGCTGAGGCAGGTTTGGACAAAAGAATGGCGTATCTTTACGTATTTTATTGACTTCCCAGCAATTTTTGCAATTACTTCAGTGAAGCAATGTTTTATAAAATATTGACGACCTTATACAACCAAAAACAGCTCAAAATGTTGTACTTATAGTGGCGATATTTAATATGTCGGACATATATACAGATATAATAAATATAGTGTGGTTATTGTTAAAAAAACCACGCAGTCGCGTGTCCGTTCATCACGGCGCGGTACCAGGGTTGCCACCTTTTTTTGCAGTTAAAGTATATTGGTAATTTTAGGTAAGAAAATAGTACAGAGTGTCAAAATAAACTACAATTTATTTTCCTTTACAACAATGTTTAAAAACTTTTTTGCTTGTTTTTTGGATGCTTTATATATGTGTTCATCTTGCCATTTGCATTCAATTACAGAAGAAACCCTTTCTGTAAACGCTGATGTGGCAGAAAAAGACAATAAAAATGAAAGTTCAAAATATTTGTTGCCATTTTTGCACAGTTGTTAGTTCTGCAACAGTCTCCAATAACTTTTGCTTAACTGGATGAAGAATGCACATTTAGAAATGTTAAGAAGCCATTTAACTACTTTTTATCACCATCTACAACGCGGTTCTGGCGCCCACTGTTTTTGACCTATATTGTGGTCTCGGCAGTAATTCTTTGCATATTTGCCAACGACGGACGCGAACGGGTTAAATGAAACAAGATGCAAGTACCTTGCCAGATCCAAACACCAATTCCCTTCTTTAAATAAAATATAAAAAGAATATTAGGTTTTGTAGTAATGTATCAAATATTTTCTCTTTTCAGAAGGACATAATGAAGACACGAAGGAATCTGAACATAATGATGCTTTGAAATACTTATCTCCTGAAGAAGCTGCATTATTGTCTCTTCCTGAACATTTGAGGGTATCATCAGCACATCGTTCAGAGGAGATGCTGTCTAATCAGATGCTCAGTGGCATTCCTGAAGTAGATTTGGGTATTGATGCTAAAATTAAAAACATTGAAGCAACAGAAGAGGCTAAAATGAAATTGCTTTGGGAGAGACATAACAAAAAGGACTGTCCTTCACAGTTTGTGCCTACGAACATGGCAGTGAATTTTGTTCAACATAACCGGTTTAATATAGAAAGTGATATTGCTAAGAAACGTAAACTTGATAAGCCAGATGTAGTCAAGACTGATACTAGTGTCATAGATGATAGTGTAGATAAAATAGTTAAGAAAGCTAAAGGAGAAAGAGCTACTGATGATTATCATTATGAAAAGTTTAAAAAACAATTTAGAAGATACTGAACAAATTGTTTTAATTATGTAAATGGGCATTTTCACTTATAAGTGTACCCAGTTAAAAATACGATATTTTTTTTGAAGTTGTTTTTTTAATATGTTTAAAGATCTCAACCTGTTCTTCATAGTCTGACGGACTGGAGATGGTATTTTATTTTTAATAAAATGAGTGTTTTCCTTATTAAAAACGGAAAATAAATGGACTTCGTAGTGAAAAAGTGGTCAGTTTGGTGACGCCATAAATATCATCCTACTTTATTATTTTAATTAGTATGACTCAATTTTTATTTTCTTTTGCTACTGAATATTAAATAATCCACCGAAAAAAATAGATATTAACTTTAAATTGAAATCTCATTTCTCTAAAATGAAGTTTCAACTTCGGTTTTGTGACAAGTGATGCTACGAAGATCGATTTTTATTAATTTCCTTGATAAAGGGGTTAGTTTTTTTAATAAATGTATTTTGTAGTATTCTATGTTGCAACAGGCTTAAACAATATTCAAACAAATATAATTAAACAATGAAACAAAAGTTTAAAAAATATATTTTGTTCACATACAAATTGGGACAGTCACCAAAGTGACACATTGAAAAACCTTAAGCTGAGATTACATGATAAAAAATAAAACATAGCGTTGGTAGTTAAGTCTTTATTCTTTCATATTTTTATTGTATCTGAGGGAGGATAGACTGCGTTAACCCGCGAAGTTGAAGTTTTCTTGCGTTTTTTGCAATGTGCAGATCAATTTCAGCTTGTTGGTACAAATATTTTGCAAATCAGATCTATCATACGGAGATGCCTTAATTCTTATGGTCATGTAAATATTATATGGTTTTGTCACAAATTATATTTTGTTTGCTTAATTTGAAACTGACCTGTAAGTTGCAAAAAACGTAATAAAACTTGAATTTTACGGACTACCACAGTGGATCCACATTTATCTAATAAGTTATCTATAGACAACTAAGGAATAATACAATTTGACACATAATCAATATGCTAAAGGAAAAATCACCGTAAATATATTATTAAATATAATAGCAAAACCAATGATGTATAAATCTATAGATACGTTGTCCGCGCTCTAAAATGGCAACATGAAATGAAGGCAATTTGACAACATCGCGCTTAGTCACGCACCAACCTCCCGCGCGACGCTACGTTTGTTATAATTTATATCGTGTGTGTAAACCTGTGCGAAACTAAAGAAAGCATGCCGTCGTGTGTGTTCAGAGGATGTACAAATTATACTCCAAAAGTTATAGACAAAAATGTGTCATTTCATGCGTAAGTTCACCAAACAACCTATTTTTATTTTATTTTTTTCGACGCCGGCGCCCGCCATCTTATGGCGGCCGGCGCATGAAGGTATAGTCACGTGCCGTCGGCATAACTGAAGATGTATATTTATCTCCCTCTAGCAAAGGCATTCCACTATACGATGTCATATTTGCTTTCCCTTTCTTTAGTCGTAGAAGTAGTTATCTTGTATTTTCGCCGTTTTTAAGCGCCGCGATGTTGGTTCATGACGTGTCTATATATAATACGTCATTGAGCAAAATAATAAAATTACCTCTATAAGGAATTAAATCAGTCTCAAGTTAAATAGTCTTTGACGTCACTATAGTATAATTTAAATAGTAATCTAACTAACTATTGTGCTTTTTAAGAAAACTAATCTTTGTACTTTATTAAATAACCTAATCAGTCTCACAGTAGAACTTACTGGATTACAAGTGTCACCCATTATTAATTTAGCAAGGAATGTTTTGTCAACGATATACAGGGTGTCATGGACAGCGTAACGCAAACTTCGCAAAAAGGCTTGACCGAATGCCACTAACGAAATCATGATAGTCATTTATATCGCTAATGAGCGGTTATGAAAATTGCAATTTTAGAGCGCGCAATGTAGTAAACAATTCGATATCAATGTCAGCTCGCGTTACACGGCCGGCCGTTGTAACTCGTAGGTATAATGTCGCTGACCTTGCGTATGAACTCTAGTCAAACAGCTGAGCGTTTACGAGTTTTATTTACATTGCGTTTTTTAGTCTAATTAGTGAATTATTGAATTATTAATTGAAAATCTCATTGGGTTAGTTAAGAAATAGGATTTTAAACAGTTTAAAGTGAAAAAAACACTTTTTTTTTTAATTTGATGAAAAGACCGACGAAAAATTCCACCACTGAGAGGTCCAGAATCATGTACTGGATCCATGGTATTCGTTTGTGAGACACTGTCAATGACATCCTATATCGTCCCCGTAGAACGAAAAGTCATTAAGTCGAAAATGACCAAAATGAGATACGAGGCTTCAAAGTTTTAAAAAATTAAAAAAAAAAAAAATTTTTTTCTGACAGTAGATATTTCTGAATTTATGGTCTTATCTTATTGGTATCAGCTTCGGGCTTATGTTCAAATATGAAAAATTTCAAAAACATCAATTGTTTTTAAGATATTTAGGAAATACGAAAGTAATTAATTTTTTCCCTTACATCATTTAATCCTAAAGTAGGTTAGTGATTTTTCGATCTGAGTTAATGATTTTTCGCCCATATTTAAAACAATTTCGTAGAAATTAACTTGATTTAGTTATATTTCAACTTCTTTCTAAGAGCAACATAATATTCAGAAAATAATAATTATGTATTAATAACGCCTATTAGTTACTTATAATGATAAGAAAATCATTAAAACATAACTGATATACATCATAAATTTACTTTATTAATAATATAAAAGAAAAACAGTTACATGAATCTTAAAAAAACACAAAAACAATCAATTAATGCAAAACACAAATTAAGATATTCGTATGAAATTAAAAGTTCAAAAATCTAAATCGTTTTCACCTTCTTCAGCTACATCTGGTTCGCACAATCTGTCTATAATATCTTTACTGGTAGGTAGAGTTTCATACCAAGAATGAAGTTCTTGAGGTATAATCCCTTTGGTGCAAAGATTCAACAGATCCTTTTTCTTAGCTTCTGATATTGGGATGGGGCTAGAATAGGCCTTAGGAATTACATATTCTTTTAATTTGTCAATCATTTCTTTTCTGCCTTCACGATCATTTTCCTCAATTGCTTGACCATCTAGAGATCTTTTTGTCCTTCTTGTAGCACGAGGAGCTACTTTATCTAGTGTTTGAAATACATCAAATTCGGAATAAGGGCCATCATGTGTGTAACGGAATTTGACCAGACCAGGATGTCCTTTTTCGAATCTAAGGCACTTAATTTTTAACCACATTATTTTATTACCCTCTTTGTCCTTACTTGTATTTTTAACGAAGTGTTCACTTAGGGCTTTGATGTCTATCATATCGTTATAGGTCATTTCTTTAACGATATATGGCGGTGATGATTTTTTGTGTCTTGTTGATCGAGCACGAACCATAATAGATTTCCAATCTATCATGGAGAAGACTGGCGTATGCCTTTGGCACTTTTCTATAGCACTGTGCATCGAATAGCACTGTGCATCGAATCTACCTCCATGTGCGTATGGCCATTCTCTAAATATTTTTGCTCAAGTATTTCAACACATCAGTCCTCGCGATCAGATGGCACAGAAAAGCTGTTATAAATTTGTTTCTATTCTGGCCTGCGCACGTATCACTATAAATAGTTACTTCTTTTACACATGTAGGTATTTGATGTATCCACCAGTTCATCGCACTCGCGATTTCAATACTGCCCCTTTTGCCATTTATTTCATTCCACGTTTTGCAAAATGCTTCATTCGGAGGTTTTGCTGTGTGAATAGTATAATTTTGCACATTCAGCTTCCTCGTATAATATAATAATATAATATTGATTGCATATCTGCAGTTACTACGAGATACGTGTCATCTTTCATAGACCGCTGTTTATCAAATTCTTTTGCATCTTGTGCTGCATTTTTTCTGGCAATATGTGCATCATATTCTTCTTTTAGAGACTCAGGTCGACCACTACTATCATAGCGAGTACATATTATACACAAATCCTTTTTGGGCTTAAAAAATGACAAATTAAATTGTGATCCAAATATTCTTTTATACACATAGAAAGAACACGGTTCTTCACCAGCAGTTACTAGTTCTTCTTTATATAATTCATACATTTTTGAAATACTTAATTTGCTGTCCAGATATTGTCGTTTAGATTTTTTTCTACAGTAATGAGATTCAAGTCGAGGAAAAGAGTTAATATGATCGATGATTTTTTGTTCAGATGCGGCATCAGTCTTATTAATAGGAGCACGAGAACCACGTCTATCTTGTCCCTCGTAGTTACCAAATTCGTTTTTGTATTTAATGGCTTCATTTACGGGACCATTTGATATACATAACGTTTTCAAAAAAAAGTCTTTGCAGACTCGATGCTGCTGATCATCTTTAGTGAAATAATATTCATAAGTGGCGGATCGATGTTTTTCATTTGGAATACCAGTTTTCATAGTTTTTATTGGTTTGGCAACAATCTGGTGCAACAAGAACTGTTTCTGAGATACGTAATCATTAATCTTCCAGTAGTCTTTGCACAATTTAACTCTGTCATCCTCAGAAAAATGATTCATGCATTGATATCGGCATTTTACAATACAATTTACATGCTTAGGCTTCTTTGCTTGCATAATATTACCCTTTTTTCCATGATATGGCAAACACTTATGTCTATTAATTTTTGCTATATTTTTCTTCCATTTGCTAGGATCACTTTTTTTCCAGCGTTGTAATTGCTTTTCATTACTAATGCTGGCTGTTGAAGAACTTTGCTGATCATTAGTTTCTACAGATTCATGGTTCATTTTCACAGTGATAAGTGATGTTTCAGTATTTTGCTGCTGATTGGATTCCGTTTCCAAATCCTCTAAAGAATTATTTGAAATATAACCGTAGCTATCCTTAGAACATCCTGGTTTTGCTTCTATTTGCTGTGTTTTGTTGTATTTTTTTCGTTTAGAATAATCACAAAAATCACTGCTATCAGTTGAGGATGATCTGATAATCACCTGTTTTTTCTTTTTTGAATTTTCTTCACTATCTGGATACCAAGAGTCGCCAGAATCAGATAAATCAGGCTCGGAGGAACTGTCCAAAGGCTTAATTCCGCTTATATCAGAAAACGGACTCTTGGGTGGGTTTTGCAGTTGTTGCTCAGATGGAGCATCTTTTTCTGATAAAAATTCTTCTAAGGATACTACATCATTGCCTGTATCAGTTAATAATGGGGCGGAGTTTGGTGGTTTGATTAAATAAATAAATAAAATAAATAAAATTTATTGAAGAACACATAATCTAGAATATACAGCTTTGCTTAAGGCTATACCAAGTTCATAATATTGGGTGCCTGAACTAGGACAACCTGTGTTTCAGGCGAAAATGGGTAAAAAGATATTATACATTGTTAAATAATAATAAGTACATAAGTGTTTTTAAATTAAGGAAATAATGCTACTATTTATATTAAAAATAACAGGATAAAACGATACTTAAATTCTATGCCTATGTCTAATTAAATAAAAATTAAACCATAAATAAAAATAAAGACCTTTAATACAGTTATTTAGGAACTAATAATAACTTCTCTGAGTCTTCATAGGACATGTCTTGAAGTGCTTCGATGAGGATTTTTTTACAGGTATGGAGATTGTAGGAGTAAAAGGATAAAGTCGCATTCAGTTTGTTGTATAGGAAAGGTCCGAGGAATACAAAAAAAATTGTTATAAAAGTGTGTTTTGTACTTTTTGCTGGGCAAACTATATCTTTCTTTCTTCTAGTAATTAATTC